ATGCCTCTCAATCGTGGTGCCAGCCCTCTAGGACAAAATTACCCCAGAGATCCATATAGTCATCACCCTAATGATGTTCTGGAAATATTTTAACTTCACTGTTCTCCCAAGCTTGGGCTAGGGCAGTGATGGCGAACCTTTTAGAGACCGAGTGCCCAAACTGCAACCCAAAACCCACTTATGTATCGTCGGGTGCTGGGTGGGCATGGCCCATCGGGTGGGTGTGGCCAATTGGGTGGGCGTGGCTGCGATGGTAACGGCAGACTGGGTGGGACTAAAAAGTTCAATCAATCAATTCCAACTTTGCAAGATCTTTTTTTCCCCCGCGAGAAGTTGAAATTGATTGATTGATTGATTGAACCTTCTTTTTTTTTTGCACATGGCAGCGGAAGCCTAAAGCGAAAAGATTTTATAAAACCCAGCTGAAGGCCTAGGACTGGGGCAATGGCGTGTGTGCCCATAGAAAGGGCTCTGCGTGCCACCTGTGGCACACGTGCCATAGGTTCGCCACCAGGGGGCTAGGGTGTTTGCAAAGTCCTATTGATGATGTATATGTCTGAGGGAATGTCTTTGCCCAGGTACATGGGATTGTCTTCTTTTTAATCTGTTTTCTATTTTTAATGTAAGCTGCCCAGAATAATACTCGGGTCAAGTGATCTCTAAATCTCATCAATATTCTGTCGCTATTATATTAAAAACACTGTGCTTACCACAAGAAAGGAAGCCTATGAAATTAGTGTAGGAAAGTCAACAATACATTGGATAATGGTTGTGTATAAATGAAGTGTTACCCCCTTTTGCCTCTTTCCAAGAACTGTAGAAATCAACAATACTGATGCTGAGGGGCGTCTGGTGCTTGCCGATGGTGTCTCCTACGCTTGCAAGGACCTTGGGGCTGACATCATTCTTGACATGGCCACACTCACAGGTGCTCAGGTACAGTTGGTGAACACATAAATTAGCATTGCTCACCTCCGTTCTGCTTAAAGCCGGGGGGGAGGGGAATCCTTCTGACACTCCACCCAAGGGACATGGTGCTTGCATGAGGTTGTGCGTGAAGTTCTTCTGAGGGAAAGAAGGCTAGAGCCAGCATCCTGAGAGACTCACCAGAGCTTGAAACTAAGATTCTTCCAGAAATGCAAGAAAAAGTTCTCGTTGATTTAATATCAAGAGAATAATGGCAGGGTGAAGCAGGAGGGAATTGTTAGCTGTGTATTTTGCAATGTAAGTAATAATCCATATTCTGTCATTCAGAAGAACATCTTGCTCTTACTGGTAGCCCTCAATTTACAACCCTATTGGGACTGGAAAATACATCATTAAGCAATGTGGTCATGAAGTGAGGCATCATGTGACCACACCCAATTTGATGACATTTTTGTCTCATTTGTTAAATGAATCCCTGCAGTTGTTAAGCAAGACATCATGTGATCGCAATTTGCAATCTTCCCTGCTGGCTTCCCCATTGACTTTACTTACTGGAAGCCAGATGGGACAGTCACAAATGACAATCATGTGTATAAGTGCAAGGACTGGTCATAAATCACTTTTTTGAGCTCCATTTTAACTGATTAGTCGCTAAACGAACAGTCGTACGTTGAGGACTACTTGTACAGTAGCTTAGTGAAGGAACAGGAAAGCTACTTATTAGTTCTTTAACATAAAACTGGATATGAGACGGGGTGGCGCAGTGGTTATAATGCAGTATTGCAGGCTAATTCTGCCGACTGCCAGCAGTTCGATTCTCATCGGCTCAAGATGGATTCAGCCTTCCATCCTTCTGAGGTTGGTAAAATGAGGACTCAGATTGTTGGGGGCCATATGCTGACTCTGTAAACCGCTTAGAGCTGTAAAGCACTGTGAAGCAGTATATAAGTCTAAGTGCTATTGCTATTGGTTGACTCCCAACAACTCCCAGGGAGAAAAGATCTGAACCCATGTTTCCTAGGTTCCCAATAGTTTAGGAACACTGATTTATCTACAGCATCTGTTCAGGGTATGGGTCCTGAGTTCTTTAATATGAAACAGGTTGCAGAGGATTCTGAAATACATTTTCTGCCTCCCCATCACATTTTCAGTATCTGAAAAAGGAGGAGGAACTTTTAACCCCAATGCATGGGGGACATCTTGCTCAAACATTTCTAAGTGCACACTCAGATATCTTCTGCTTTCACATTTTACATTATACCCCTTCTAGGGAATCGCCACGGGGAAGTACCACGCGGCTGTCCTCACCAATAATGAACAGTGGGAACAGGCCTGTATCAAAGCAGGCAGAAACTGTGGTGATCTGGTTCATCCCCTCGTCTATTGCCCAGAGCTCCATTTTAGTGAATTTACCTCTGCTGTAGCCGACATGAAGAACTCAGTGGCAGTAGGTTTGCTTCATTTATAATATTTTGTGCCTCATGTCAACTGCTGGGCTGTTTTCTGCCCTCTGTTTTTTTTACAGCATGGTTTGGTTTTTCAGATGTTAGCTTTGCAAATTACTGTTACTCCATCCTCTTATTAGTGTGGGCCAACAGCTCCTCAAAATCAGATTATTTTATGTATAAGGTCAACCATGAAAAAGGCAGGGGAGGGGAAGATTTGAACCACACTGCCTGAAGGATTCTGGAAGGAAAAGGCCACTGAAAATGGGATTGTTCTGTGCATCTGCTCTAGAAACCATAGCAAACTGTAGCTTTTTGCAGTGATGGCAGAATGACGTCATCCTGCAAAACGCTGATATTACATACTCCTGTTCTCTGATCCCAGTATGCAGGTCACTGCATTTGACTGATAACATCATCCAGCAGTATCATTTACTCATCTCTGCAGACACCCACGTCTCATTTTTAAATTTGATGTTCTAAAGCATGGGTCCCCAACCCCCAGGCCGCGGCCCATTACAAGGCCATGGCCTGTTTGCAGGCCAGTGCACACGTGCATGGATCTCAACTTGCGCAAGCAGCGGGTTGGCATGCATTGCATGCACACACAATTCAACTTGCAATCAAGCTGTTTGTGCATGTGTGTGTGCGTCGGCCCACCATTTAGGTGGGCCAGTTCCCCTCTCCATCTCCCCAGCCAGGCCACCAAGCTGCAAAGATTGGAGACTGCTGTTGTAAAGCATACTGAAATGAACTAAAGACAACTCCCCTGTGTTGTGTTTTTCTTCAGGACCGGGATAACTCTCCCAGCTCCTGTGCTGGACTTTTTATTGCTTCACACATCGGGTTTGATTGGCCTGGTGTTTGGGTCCACATAGACATTGCAGCTCCCGTCCATGCGGTGAGTAAAGAGGATTTTCTTAATGCTCCTGTGTGCTGCTTGTCTCTCTCTGGAGTTTTGTCCCAGTGGTTGAGAGAGAGTGACTGGCCTAAGGTCACCCAGCTGGTGGTGTGCGTAAGGCGGGACTAGAACTTACCATTTCCTGGTTTGGTGCCTTAAACACTATACCAAGTTGGCTCTCAACCATCTGGTAGTATTAACTACACTTTTCCTCTTAAAAACATAAAGGACAAAATCTACGTAGCCTGAATCATGTTCTATTGCAAACCTAAATATGACATGTTTTTTAAAAAACACCTTGTGTTCAATCATGAAAAGGATGCCTACAGATGTGCTTTATTGTATTTTTTTAAAATGTAACTGTAGATTCACGTGCGCAAATTTTATGCTACATTTGGATAAATATAATTTACTGAATAAACCCAAGTGGTTTTGGTTCATACAATAGCCTGAGCCAATCCCAAATAAGCTACTTGTGCAAATGGACATTTGGCATCAGCTTTCAGAGCTTTCTCCTAGCATTTGTGTGTGTGTGTGTGTGTGTTTGTGTGCATGTATGTTTGTTTGTTCAAAGACTAGCCATCTGAGATGCCTTTGGTTTGGAAGCATCACTGATTCAGACAGGAAGGCGATGCAGAGAGTGGTGAGGATGGCCAAAAAGATTATTGGCAGTTCCCTCCCTCCCATCCAGCACATAGCACAGAAGCGTTGTTTGAGCAGGGTCCGTAAGATTATCTGGGACATTACACATCCTCTGTTTTCCTTGTTACCTTCTGGGAGGAGGCTTCCGTGGTATCCGTAGCAGAACATCCAGATTCAGCCATAGTTTCATTCCATACAGCATTAACCTTGTGAACTCTCAAGCTTCTCCTTCCATTATATATTCAAGATGAACAGTGTTTAATATTTATTTGTTATGTATATGTAGGGGTGTGGGTCTATACATATGTTGTATATAGTATATTTAGGTGTGTGTCGTGTATGTGTTTCACTTTGAGAGCGGGCAACTAAATTTCATTTTTGATGTGTGCCGTTGTGCCCACAGTAAAAAAAATGACAATAAAGGTTATCTTATCTATCTATCTTATCTTTGTGTTTGCCTCTAGGGGGAACGAGCCACTGGCTACGGTGTGGCTTTGTTGCTGTCACTCTTTGGCCGTGCCTCTGAAGACCCTCTGCTGAACATGGTCTCACCATTGGGCAGCAGTGGAGATTCCTTAGAAGATGACATGGGGAGAGATTGCAAGAGACGGCGCTTGGTTTAATTCCCCTCCTCTCCCTATTTTGGAGCTGGCATGCCAGAATTACCTCACTTTGCACTGATCAATTTCCTAAATCCTAAAATTAGCATGTGTCGGAAATGGCCATTTCAAATGTAAAAGAAAATAGACACAAAGTTGTGGTTGCTTATATTCTGGTTTTCTATAATGAAAAGTCCAGTTCTACTGGTTTCTAAGAATGGTTTGCATTAGAGGTTTTTGCAAATGTGTAACAGCTTTGCAGCTCCCAGCCCTTGTTGAGGAGGGCCTAGAAATCTTTCTCATCTCTTCCTTTTCAAAAACTATCTGAGCCTATTAGTTACAACTGCTTGACCTCTTATTTCCTATAGAGTTTTTCAAGTTAATTTCATGGATTTTCACTCTTGTCAGGGCTTTCTCAGCCCCTTGTCTTTCAACATATATAAAGTAGAGGGGGAAACACAATACAGTTGTCACCATGCAGTCTAGACCAGTGTTTTTCAATCTGGACACCTTTAAAATGTGTAGATTTCAACCTGGCTGGCTGGGGAATTCTGGGAGTTAAAGTCCACAAATCTTAAAGTTGCCAAGGTTGAGAAACACTTGGTCTACTCTAGACCAAGTGCATACTTTATGGTTAAAGGCAGCAACTTTGCTTCCAGCCATTCTGTCTCTGGACTCCAACTCCCTTCTGTCCTGCTTCTTGGACAACTCAACCTGCTTTTTTGTTCCCTGTAGGTAGGTGAGCAGGAACTAGAGAGGGACGATTTGGAAGGAACAGTGACTGTCTTGCCCTGCATCACACTGGGAAATGCGAAGCCCAACATCTGCTTAAGTTGTAAGGTGGCAATCTTGGATAAGAATCACTTTGGGCTCTGCTGTAGCCCATGACAATAATGGAGGCCTTCATCTCTTTCTTTAAAAATAGGTTTAAAACAAAATTCTCCCCCATATGCTTTTCTTGCATGATTATTTTATCAGTGTGATCCAGTGCACATCTCCATGAAGTTCTTAATATGCTTGTGCTGATGAATTACATTAATGTTTAGAATTAAAGACCATGCAGGAGGTAACCATGCCAGAATAAAGCTGCTCTTGTTTCAACATTGGGTTTTTAAATCAGATTTACAATGCATTTTTCTACTAATCCCTGAAGGTGTTCCAAAGATGTTAGAGAAATTTATAGAAGATACACAGATTGAAATATTGATAGAAGGCAGCTAAATGCAGCCAGAGCAGTTAATGTCTCATGAGTAGGTCATGAGAGCAATTGGAACCATAGAGAAGAGCAATCTCTCTTGCTCTTCTTGGAACCTCCATGGGGCCTCTGGTTGGCCAGTCCTTTCAGGAAACAAAGGGCTGGATTAGCTGGACCTATTGCATTTTTATTACACCTTTTGTGTCAAAGGCCTAAGTAGGACATGCTAGGAAGGTCAGTCTGTCTTTTAACCCTTTACTAACATTAAAACTTTAATGTCAATGAGTTAGAAAGGACTACCAAGGCCATGATATCCAACTAGATATCCACTGCAGGAATCAAAGCACCTATAACAGATGTTTGGTCTCCGCTTAAATATATCCAGCAAAAGGGAGCTACTCTCCTTATAGAGAATTGGTTCTATTATTGAAGTGCTGTCACTATTTAGAAAACTTTTTAATCTTCAGGCAGACTCATTATTCTGTGTTCTACACACAAGATTGTGACCACTTTATGGGATTATCTATCATTAAACATGGACATAACCATCTGGGAATCTTAGTGGGCAAGAGAGACACAGAAAGTCCCAGGATACAAAACTGTATTTTATTTGTACGCCTATGTAACGTTTTGTTCATGCCACAATTTGACAAATTAAAGACGTAATTCCTAATTCATTGCTAATTTTACTGCCATGTTGAACTGAATTGGTAATTTAGAATCAGACTGCATACAATTAAAGGTGGGGGGAATCATAGGAACAGCTTCCACTTGCTGGGGATTTCCCCTGGCCCAAATCACTATACAGCATTATAAATTCCAATCTCTGTGCAATATAAAACTGCATATCACACCCTGGATATTAAATCTCACATGTAGTTGCACACCTCCATAACGCAGATATTCAATAAATCAAACTTTGCCTTGATGTCCTGTGGAGTGATGCCCAACTCCCAAGTGCAGGTCCTGTTTTTTGTAGAGTTTCTTAGTGGTAATTTCCCATCCATGCTATTTTTATTTTTCCTTGTGTCCTCTGGTCCATTTGATCATCGTTTCAGGTGATCTGTACAGAAAGATGAGCTTAGCAAAAAGCTGCTCTTCTAACTCCAATTCTCCAGCCTCTCTGGCCAAGAAGATTTCTGTGCACAATTTCAGGATGCGGTCCACATTGGGCAGCTCTTCGAACATGATGGAATGTGAGAAGCCATTGAAATACTCTCGGATGAATTTCCCAATAACCAAAACAAACGACATATAGAGACCGACAATGCTGGTGTTTAGAGAAAAGAAGAGCCAAGGTTATTTTCAGACTGTTAGAGTAGCATCATAAGTTTTGAAATGCATTTTCCTGTTTCTGGCCCTCTGTATTTTATTTTCCTAGGCAGGTCACTACAGCCCAAACTGTTTTCTCATACGTTCCAAATTTGTATATTTGTATGTGTCGCTTGCCTTTGAATTATTGAGCAAGTGACAATCCTAACCCCCTAACCCTGGACAAGTATCCAAGAGTTGAATCTGACAGTTAACCACAAAAGCCATATCAAAATAATATATACCGTCTATTTTCCCTTAAGCTCTCAAAGCAAAAACACATGGATGTTATTAGATCATGTTCTCATGTTTATATGATTTTAACTTCCCCCTTGGAGTGGAAGACATTTTCCTATTTTTACAAAATGTAGATCCCAAAATGGAATGCCAGGAGGCAATGTCACCTATTTCATGCTGTATTGGAACTAATCAGTCTTGTATGTAGGGACATGACATAATGTAACAACCATATCTGCTCTGGAAGCTTAAGGAATCATGGATTTTATATATCATTCTGACAGACTGTATCTCTTCCTGCAATATTGCTGTATAAAGTTTTAAAGTGGAACTGACCATGAGTTCAGTTCCTGGTAGAGTATTTAAACCTTACGGAATAAAATCTGTCTGTGTCTGTCTGACGAGTTCCAGCATGTACTGTTTCCTATTAGTGAATATAAGTAAAAGCTATGATCAGTAAATTGCTAAATGGGTTTTTCCTAGAGGATTTTATTCTAGAGCAAAGCTATTCTAAGGCTTTAAGGGGCTACATTTTTTATTATTATTTAAAATTAAACCTTGTTTTTTAATCACAGGTTAGCTAGCAGTTTGATAATATAAAATAACAGTAAAAATAACAATTGTAATTAAAAAGCCTGGCTGAAGAGACCACTCCTACTTTCTTTCCTGAAATTGTACATAGTGGGAAATAAACAGCTCTGAAGGCTTGCATGCTACAGCTTCTGAATAAATAAATGTCTGGAGATAATATTGGTGGCATAATGAGATTTCTTTTTGAAGTTCTCACTAGTTTCTGAGAAAGTTGCTAACCCCTTTCACATGTTACTTCGACCACTGATAGGAGTGCCTCAAAAACATTGTAAAGTGTGGGCTATAACAACTACCAAGCAAACTTTTTAAATCTCTAGGACAGCTTCCTCAACGTGGTGGCCTTCAGGGGCATTTAACTCCAAATCTGTCAGTGCTGACTAGGGAGCCAGAGCGGGCAATGGTGGTTCTACTATCCTTACCCATATGCAGTGACGAATCCCAAGCCAGAAGGACTAACTTTATCGTTACAAATTATAATCTCCATATTCTTGCTGCATCTGTTATCCAAACAGAGAGGCGTCTGCTCTTTAACAATCCACCATTCAGAAACATGACTTGAAGACTCCTTCTGCAGCTTTATGGTTATATTTCTGAAGAAGGCCATCGCATCGATGTCTTCTAGCTTCTGGGAATGAACTGTTGAAAACAAGTTAGTCTCTGCTTCCCACACTTTCTCCCTCATAACAGGATATGTGCCTGTGCTGATCTCAATTCGATTTATTTCTTGTAATAAGAGAGGGAGCAAAGAATTGGGTTCTAGCTGGGAATTCTGGGAATTAAAGTCAACATATCTTAGTTGCCAAATTTGAAAAACACTGATTTAGGCTGTGTATAATGCTGAGCTATAATTGAGTCTGTTTTGTTTTGTTTTCATATGAATATGTGAAACTATTTATTAAGGTTTTTAGGGCATTATAGCTTATTCAACTGAAAATGATGATTTAGTATTATGTATGAACAGTCAAAAGTGGTCTGCACAGTCACATCTTCTATTCTCTGATTCTACAGTCAAAACTGTAGAGCATATGGCATTCCCCTATTTGTGTGTGATTATTACCAAACGCTTCAAAACACAGGAAAAATGTGTCTATTGCAACTGGGCTTGTCCATCCTATTAAATTGTAATTTGTTTTAACCATAGTTTGTTAATTAAGTTAGACTGATCTAGTTCAGGGGTCCCCGACCCCCGGTCCACAGACTGGCCCCGGTTTGTGGCATGCCCAAAAACTGGCCACGCAAACAAGTGAAGCCCCATCCATGGGATGCAGGCAGCATGCAAAGCTACAGCCCCTCTGATCCATGGAAGAACCTCTGCACAGAACTGGTCCCCCGACCTTTGGGTACCACTTATCTAGTTCACATGAGATGCTAAACATTGACTATGATTTTCATACAATGCAATAACCTCTAACCAATCCAAGCAAACCATTATAGCTCATTGTGATGTGAAATAACGGCAAAATAAGGTTAAAAATCCACTTTAAAAGAGAATATTCTATTTTTTTTTCAGGACATAGGAACTAGCTAGCCATGATGAGTATGTATATGTATCTGATTTTAAATACAAAAAAGGCCTTGTATCTTATCCCAGCTTCTACTCAACCAAGCAACAATCATAAAATTTGTCTGTTGCATAACAGCTGTTTAGAAAAAGGATTACATGGCAATGTGTATTCTGTACCTACGACTATGGGTCACATACTGTATATTCAGATTGGTCAGTAGAACAAGAACAGGAGATATCTGTTATGACATCCACAGGAGTCATAGTGACAAAGTTGTTAAGCATCTTGGAATATAACATATAATGTTCTGAGATACTAGAACCAGAGAACTAATTTTTCTTAGCATATCTCAAAGTAGACAATACATTTTAATCTGCCAATCATAGAACTTACCAACTTTCAAGCTATTTGCTATTTTAGCATCTGCCTCATTAGTTGCTCTGAGATATTTTGGTAGAACACCAGGAAGTACACTTAGGAGGGAAAAAAAGAAAAACATTTTTATTTTTACAAGCTTCCAAACCCATGCTAATGCTAAATTTCATTTTTTTTAAACAAACTCATCCAGCCTAAATATTGTACTGCCTAAAGTGGAGCAAAAATATCATATCTCAAGAAACATTGTGCCTAGAGCCAAAAAAATAAGTACACACTTGAATCTGAAAACCCCACAAGCATTTCTCCCTAGCCTTAGCAATGGAAATACAAAATACAAAAATAGCCTTTCCCCAAATGTCTAACAATGACATTGCATTATTTAATCATGCAATTGCATCACCACCTTGACTTGTTGCACACATTCCTGGTTATTGGCCAGAGCAGATTTGTAAATAGAGACTAAAACAAAAAACAAAAAAACCACCTACATTGGTTCAGTCCGAGTCCCAGAGAGCATGTGAATCATTTGATCCCTTATTTCCTTTTCTCTATATCGCACGGTATGTATACCAGATGCTTCAATATTCGTCACAAGAGAAGCATTCCTGATTTCATAAAAAAAATGAGCAAAAATCTTAATGTCACAGAAGCCATTTGGGGAAGGTCTGATGCATCTTTGTGATGTTTTCTGGACTGTACATATTTGTTAAAGCACAACAAATAGAGACTTAAGAAGGGTGCCTATTTTTGGAAAGGAATATTTGCCTTAGAGGAGGGTTACAAGTCTGATTTACACCTAATGCTGCATCACAATATGGTTGCTTTGGCCTCAGTGGAATTTGGGAAACTATCTCAAGATGTTTGCAGCTAGGGTCAAGGGCAGACAAATGATGGAAGCAGCATTACATGAATATAATGCAAGCTCCACCTCTTCTACATAGGTCAGCACATTGCACACACAATGTTCACAAACAGGCAGGGCTTAAGTTGCAATGGCACAATGCTGGTTTCATCCTTTTTAGAAAAATGCAGAGACGCCTCTGAATCTGCTTGACCTTTAGTGTTACGAAGGAACCAGGCCAGGGTGCTTATTAACCATCTATGGTTTAAAAAGGACCTAATATAACATGGAAACCAGGTCACAGTGAAAGGAAATTAATGCAATAACTGGGAACTGTATTTCACTTTCTAAGATGGCTTCAATATGTGCATAAAATACACTTCTTTGTTTTTATTTTACCTGGTAAGAGTCCAGTGGAAGTTGACATAGACTGCAGAGGAATTGGAGAGCTCTGCTATCATAGCTTTCCGATTCCCTGGACTGATGCTCCAGAGCAGGCTGGCATTGCCTTTTATTTTAGCAATTACAATATCCTCTGGACTATAGCCATCTATAAAGTACGAGGCAGTCTATAGGGAAAATAAAATTAATTGGAAAACCGTTTTAAAAGCACAGTATAAAAAACACATCTTACCTCAATACAGTCATTTCCAACCTGAGATCTTCCAAAAATATTGGAATTGCAGAGCCTAGGGTTTCTAGCCAACACAACATTTGTAACTCCAACATATGGTAGAGTACCAGGCTTGCTTTAAAAGGCTATCTATCTATCTATCTATCTATCTATCTATCTATCTATCTATCTATCTATCTATCTATCTATCTATCTATCTATCTATCTATCTATCTATATCTAGCTAGCTAGCTAGCTAGATAGATAGATAGATAGATAGATAGATAGATAGATAGATAGATAGATAGATAGATAGATGATAGATGATAGATAGATAGATAGATAGATAGATAGATAGATAGATAGATAGATAGATAGATAGATAGATAGATAGATATCTGTCATCTGTCATCTATCATTCTATCTATCTGTCAATTTAGATATCACTCATCTCACTCTCAGATATTATTATTATGGCTGGTTGCACAGTCAATCAGATGCTTACACTGGATTTGACATTTTTATCCACCTATTGAGTCCTTCCCAAGGACCTGAGATAGGCAAATGTTGTTTGATGATATTTTAAAGTTATCATCACAGGATGTAAGCCGATTATTATATATACAACAATGTGAAGTAACAGTTGCCACTTCTTTAGCTGGTGATGGCCTTCATAAGCATCAAGTTCTTCCCACGAACCTAGGATATCATAGTATATTGGTATAGTATATGCAGATCCAAGCAGTGTTGCTTTTTATAATAGTCAGATGGAAATGTTGTCAATGTGTAGATTTTCTATGTGCCATCCAAGATTTTTGGGACTGGTGCCAGTGGGCCAATAACCACCAGGACCACCACAGCTGGTATATGCCATAATCTTTCAATTCTTATGTTCAGATCTTATTATTATACCATTTTATTAGTAGTTTGCAACTTTTTATATCAAGAATATGCCAAGAGAGTCCAGAAACATGTGAACAGTCCCAATCCTACGATGTGTTGAATTGTCTCATGCCGATTGTGAGAGCCAATTGCTACATTTTCTGGAGTTTTGTGAGCCGGTTGAGAGTAGAGCTAAGCCATAATCATTAGTTGGTGGCATGGTGTGGTGACAACAATGGAGCCAGCAGAGCTAGTTTGACTGCATTTAATAGCATGCCACTGCCCCAATATGTCCTGCTTTCCATTTCATTATGAAAAAGTGATAGCATAAGAAATAGGTGCAGTCAACCTGGGAAATTCCTTCCAGGCATCTCGTAAATAACTAATTTTACACTGAATCCAAAGGAGGGGAAGAGACAACTTCCAGCCAACAGCTCCTGCTTTTCATTATGAAAGCATCTGGTAACTGAAAAAGGGAAGATAACCTAAGTTGGAACTGTGTTCTCAGTAACCAATAATAACATATACATTGCCCCTGCTTCTAAAGCTGTAATACGGACATTGCTCCATAAGAGAGTTGGTTCAGTTTGTTGAACTGATTCACTTACTGTACATCTTCTGTTCCATAACTCTGTAGTTTTAGGGTTTGAACTGAATTTAAATGAGAACTCACCAATCCCTTGGGCCAAAACCTGGTTTCTAGGACCAGGATTAAAACAGGAACAATACAAAATTAACAGTAAAACAGGATGCGGAATGTATTTTTCTCAAAAATGAAGTAACAATGGGATACATTGTAATATATGCTACATATATATATATAGTTTCAGATTGTTTCTATTGGTTTTAAATGCTTTATTGTTTTATAACTGTAAACCACCTAGTGTCTCTTGGTTGAGATCAGTGAGCATAGAAATTAAATAAATTTCCTTGAATCTTGCAATGTTTTTTTGGGGGGGGAGAGGGGGGGCAACTGGAAAAAATGCTGGAGAAATGATCCCTGCAGTTCACATTGTGAGAGTGTCCTTGTGTATGTATATACAATATATATATTGTGTATATATAAAGGTACAGATATACTTACAGGGTAGAGAGCATATTGTGCAGAGAATTGATTATATGCTGCATGAGTGAAAGGAACCAGATTTTGTTGCTGAGCACTCATGGTGAACAAGGACTAGAAAAAAGAGAAAAACAAAGACTATATTACACACTTTTGCTATGCTAGAAATGTAACTCACTTTATTGACTTTGTAAGTTGGCTTATGCAGCTCTTTGGATTCATTTCCAAACAATGCATCAGAAGTGGGAGGGAGAGAGAGGGAAATTTCACAGTATCATTTTCCAAATTACACAACTTGTGTTATTTATGCGATGACATCATTACATCTGTGATGTCATCATGGCTTTTATCAGACATTTGAAGTCTCCAGCTGACCATTATCTCATCCATACATTCTTAACTTATACTTTTCAGATGTGCTGAATTACAGTTTCCAGGATGGGTTCCCAAATTTGGAGGGCAGCAAGTTGGGGAAAGATGATCTATTCTGACCAGGAAGAAAAACCTTCCACATTACTAACTGTGCAATTCTTGCTGAACAAAGACTGAATGAAGCCTTGTTAATTTCATAAATAAACATTTTTTGCAGGCAAGGATCTACTTAACCACAGACCCATAGCTCCTTTCTCTTTTTAATTGATTTAAATTGAGCAATGGAAATGGAACTACTTGTGAAAGGCTTAAATATTCTTTTCTCAACTTTCTTCTCTGTTACCTCATAACCACTGATGGTAATTTTGACAGAAACGTCCAAGGGCTGGTTGGTGACACCTGTCATAGATTTCAGTGACATAAGAAGAAGTGGAAACCATACAATGAAGACAAGTAAGAAGATAATGAAGCCTCCCATCCCATACTTCATAATTGGTTTCTTCTTCTGTCCAGGAGATTGGGGATATTTCTGGAGGGGAAGAGGAGTTAATTGACAAAGAGTATGGTTATTCCATATACATACTGAAATAATAGCAATAGCAATTAGATTTATATACCACTTCATAGTGATTTACTGCACTAAATAGTTTACAGAATCAGCATATTGCCCTCAATAAACTGAGTCCTCATTTTACCAACCTCGAAAGGATGGAAGGCTGAGTCAAACTTTAGGCGAATCGGGATTGAACTCCTGGCAATGGGCAGGATTAGTCTGCAATATGCATTCTAACCACTGCACCACCACATCTCAGTAAGTAAATAGTACCAACCAATCTATACAGTATAAGAGTCATCTGAAGCCAGAACCAGGAGTAGCAATCTTAAATTCTACACAAGTGCTTCAGCATTGCTAATTTTGATTTTGAATATGATTAAAACTAGCAATAGAGCATGATCTGAATTCTACTTCCTAAGCTCTGGTGATCAAAGCTACACTATTGGTGATACGTAATGCAAGGTAATGCATGATTGAATGTTTTTCTCCCTTCTCCCTTTCCCTTCTCCCTCTCAAATAACAAGGCAGGCTCATTCAGTAACCAACAGTGCAGGATCTAGGTAAATCGTGGGAAGTGAATAATTTTACACGGGAACTGGAGAGGTTCATGATAGAAGAGGATACCAATGGTTACTGAGATTTCTACCTTCTGAATTATGAACAATGGGCCTTAGTACTGATGGCTAAAAACCTCCAGTAAAAGAGAACTCTTGCCTTCTGGTCCAAGGTTATGAGTTTCCCCAATTATCTAGTTGAACACTGGGACAGGGATTCCCAAGCCCTGGTCCGTGGACTGGCACCTGTCCGTGGCATGCCAGCAATCAGGCTGCACAAAGAAGTGAAGCCCCATCTGCAGGATGCATGCCCCCTCTGCTCTGTCTCCAAGGAACTGGTCCCTGGTGCCCCAAAGATTGGGGGCCGCTGCACTGGGGGACAGATTTATTCATTTATTTACTGCTCATCTAACAACTCTGGGCTAGATAGGCTTAGGGGCTGATCCAAGACTATGATAAGATTTTTTAAGACAATCAGGTTGACTGTATTTTTTTTCTTACACAGAAAAAAACAGCATCCTGGACATCTACATAACTGAAAAATATATCCCTGCATCCATTTTAGTGATATGCATCAAGCAGCAACCAAGGAAATCATATTTTTCTAAGTATAATATAATTTGTCCAATGCCAAATATTTCAAAATCCCTTTATGATTTATTTCACAAATGTACAGTGATCTCAGTGTTTTCATCTCAGTGTTTCCAAAAACTACATGTTGTGGCCATATTTCCATTTGTGAATATTCAGATATGAGCAAAAAGATGATCATCACAGAAATTGGGAATCTTAAATACACTGTTTATTGTAATAAGGAGAGCCATCCATTTCAGGAGTCTACTAAACTAGACCATCCTAGAGTCCCCCAACCTGCCACATTGTAGAGATTTTACACTACAATTTCCAAAGTTCCCAGCAAGATTATCCTATGTTACCTGCATTAAGAGGGTTAGCAAGATCCAGAAAAAATACCACTCACTTTTTCACATTCTCTCTGACATTTTAGAATGAAAATATTTGCATAAATATCCTCTAGGCAGATCCAACTGGACAGACTGAGTGTAGAATCAGTCCAGACCCAGTCCACGGCAGCCTTCAGCTCAATCAAGAAAGGTATTATGCGGAATCTATCCACGAGAGAATAAAAAAGGCAAGTTGATATTGGTGACTAGCATTTTGTAATAAATATTGCAAACACAAAATTTTATAAATTAATTTTTAGGAGTTTATTCAAAGGTTTTCCTCTAAAGAAAAATCTGCAGAGAACTATCAATCTTTAATTTGGATACCAATAACATCCTGATACAGATATCTGTAATTCTTCTTTCAAAGAATTACAAATCAAAACATCTGCACTCGTTTTAAATTTACATTGCATTACATTTACATTTAGTTCTGCAACTAAATAATTTAATCAATGCTGCTAACATTGGAGCTTCCTTATATATTTTCAGGTACAAAATCTTAAGAGAATGAAAATGATAAATTGTACTTTTTACAAGTGGCATAGAAGCAACAAAAATAATTCATATATTATTGACTAATTGATTGATTTTAGGATCAGTCAATCATAGATTTCCATTTATGAAAAACAGAAGGATGACTCATAAAAAAATTATAATCATAATTTTATTTATGGCTTTTTATAAAAAATCTATTCAAATTGTCAAAACTAAGTAATCTTTATTACTATATGAAAAAAATAAATGGAAGGTAGCCAGGGCTGTTTCTTGATTCCTTTGCCTGGGAGCCATAGAGTTCTGATTATCATTCTACTTAAGGGCTGGTGAAACTCTGAATGTAGAACTAACCCCCCCTCCCCTATAAATCATATCCAGCAAATCAAGCCCAGTGCATCTGAGCAAATGGCTATCCAATCTTTTTTCTTGAAAACCTCCACTGATGGAGCAGTTACAACAGTTTAATAGCTCCCAGTCAGGAATTCCTCTATTCCATGTTTGGATACCTCTTTCTTAAGTTTTCACTCGCCAGTTTTGTCTTGCCCTCAGATGCTCAGGAGAAATAAATCCAGACCTTCTGATTTCCTTCATACATCTGAAGACTGCTTCAATATCTCCCCTGATCTTTCTCTTCTTTAAGCTAACCATACCAAGTTCCTTTAATCAATCTTTAGCGGATTTAGCCCCCAAGCCTCTTGCTATCTTTGTCATTCTTCTCTGTATTCTTTCCAGCTCTTCAGCATCTTTTTTATCTTGTGTACTCCAAATGCTCTAAGAACCATGCTTAGCATTTTTTCCTCTTAATCCCCCCCAACACACACACAGAGACCCTCTAAATGTAGGATGTAGATTTGGTTGAAAGAAAGAGATATCAATCTAAAGGCAATCAGTGACTTTCCTTAACTGAAGATGGACTAGAACTTGAGTCTTCTAATTCCTCATTCAGTACCATAACTACTACATTATACAGGTTGTTGGGCTGGAAAGAAAAAATGACCGAAAATTACCCAATGAACTGTGCCTGGTCTTTCAGCCTTAGTCCCACATTTTAACCATTAGGTCATATTGTTCAGAATGAAAGACTTCTATATCTAGAAATTTGTTTGGAGTTATAGAATAGAGCTCACTTTCACTTCCCCACAATCTATATCAGCAGAATAGTTTGAGCCGAAGAAAAATCTTTTTGCTGCTGAAGTTATTTTATTAGTATGACAGTCTAAAACCTATCAGTTAGTTCCAATCTTCTTTTGGCCACCTTCTTCTAGGTGTGCATGTTTAATTTGGTTTATTTAGCAATGTTTGTCATCCTGGAGGGAATGAATTGAAATGTTTCTGTTTGTCAAGGATGTGAGAAATGTTGTCCTGTCATGAAATTAGTACTTACCCTTGGAATAAGTAGAGGTTTATATAGTTATAATTCTTGGTCAAAAAATGGCCCATGGTCCGATTTGGGTAACCACATTTGATCTGATATGTGGACAAACCAAAATAAATGCACTTGACCAAATACCACAGCTGAGCCATTCTATTCCTGTTAAATCTCCTGCGAAGGAACAGAAAAATCATTCCAATCTCCCACTTTTTCTAACAAGATATAACATAATATTTTCTTAGTTCTTGGCTGATACTCAATTTAATGTCTATGTACAGCCTTGTGAGGGGAACAGACAGAATTGTCATTAATTACACAAGACTTGCATTATGTATTCACAGAAGAGGTCAAAATCTGCAGGATGGCAGGCACAATATCGCAATAAAGCTCTGCCATTTTTGTACATGTGAGTTAAATAGATGCACGAATCAATTGTGAATGCACAGAAGAGAGGAAAGAGGAGAATTAAATCCTCTTCTTTATTCCCTTAATAACAACTGAAGGCTATATAAAATAAATGGCTATAGTTTTATTAGGGACATGAATCACATGCAGATAATTCTGTATCTTATATTCACCAGCTAATGAATGAATTGAGGGCAGATTCTATGAAACATTACAATGGGTATGAATAGAAGACTTTTTTTTCTCCTGGAGAATTGCTCATAGATATACTAATGTAAGCATGATAGATAGATAGATAGATAGATAGATAGATAGATAGATAGATAGATAGATAGATAGATAGATAGATAGATAGATAGATAGATAGATAGATAGATAGATAGATAGATAGATAAAAAAAACAATCTCCAAGTACAAATATTTAGTTCTATTGAAAAAATTTACGTGCATCCCCCAAAGGTTACAACCATTTTCACCAATTTGCATTATTTTAATGTGACAGAAGAAGAAACTTATTAAACACACACTTGGAAAGTAATCTCACGTTACTTGTATACTCTCCTGTGTTTTTTTCATTTGGAACTTTCAATTACCCCAAATGGTACATCATAGGGCAAAAAAAATTGAATCAAGGTACTTCAAATATATTAACTTAAAAATGCATACAAAATCCAAGACCCATTACTTTAAGAATTTTCACACCAGTTGTTTTTTCAAGGAAATAGCTGGTGCATTGTTGCTGCTGTCACATGATCATGATTTCTGATGCTCTCTGCCAGCTTTCCACAAGCAACATCAATTGGCAAGCCAGCAGGAAGACAGTTGTTCTCACTCCCCCACCTGTGGCCATTTTGTTCTTCTATTTAGGTAACGAAATATCTCTGAAACAGTGACCCAATCATGTAATCACAATTTTACTGTCAGCTTCTCAATTGATTCTCCTTGTCGGATGCTAGCTATGAAGCATGCAAATAGAAATCATATGACCATGGGACCGTAGGAGGAGAGCAGGCACAACTGGAGGCTCAGAGTTAAACATGTTATCACTTTAGAATTGTTGTGTTCTCACAAATGCTCCAAATCTAATCCCTCCTGAACTCCATTGACCCTTATCTGCAGCCAATTTAGTGTTGAACTTTAGTTGACCAGATTCTTGTGTATAGGCCTAAATAAATCTTCTATCTAACCAGTGGTCATGATTCTTTGTGCCTGACAGGGACACTGTCATGGTCATAAATTCCTGCCAAAACCAAAGCACTCAAATCTCAGTCATATGATAATGGGGATGTTGTAATAGCTGAAAAGTTGCAATAGTTGAAAAGAGGATTGGCTGTAAAGTTACTGTGTTAGCGCCATCATAACTTTGAACAGTTGCTAAACAGGGCAGTCATTAAATGACTATCTCTAATTTTATAAAAAGATATAAGCTTTTGTGAGCTTCAGCTCACTTTCTCAGATGCAATAATTTTGTCCTTTATGCCTAAAGGAATTAAAAACATTAAACAGAATCATCAATATCTAAAATAGTATTTAACATACCCAGACCAAAGAATAAATATTTCAAAGAATCTTTAAAATCATAATGAAAACAATAAATTATGAAAAGCCCAATTACACTCAACAATGACTGAAGGAACATTCCCCAATGTGGGTGCAACCACCAACATGGATCTAGGACAGAGCTAGGTAAACCATAAACTGTGCACAGTCCCTAAATGATCTTGAGTAATTTCCAGAGTCCCTTCTTTCATTGCTTCTGAAATCTGGTAGCACCTTTTTGGATATTTTTCGTTTCTTAATCATTGAAAACCATTACATCTGTTAATTTAAGTTTCATATAGTGTTTATAAAGAACACTTTCATTATAATTCAACTTTGTAAAGGATCTTCTTCCTGGACCTATCTGTTACTTTTTGTACAGCCCATCACATCAAATTAACACAAAATATGATACTCAACCTGAGAAGACACGGTTATCCTTGAACTAATACCTACATAGAAAAGATGCATATAGAATACAGGCCATTCCACCCACTGAATGTATACCTCCCTTTTGAATTGAGCCCCAAAAGAACTTTGCAGGAAGCAACTCACAATTCCCTCCTGAATGTTGCCATACCTTTGTGTTACTTCTGGCAAAATGAAAAACATCCAAATATGAATGCCAAAGACTAAGATCACTTGGAAAACATATTTCCCAAACTTGTTCTTTCTTAGGTAGAGTACCCTATCAATTATCATGGTGCCAAACTGTATCAAGAGTATCACAAGCCAAGGTCCAGGGACGTCATCTTCCGAAAGGGAGTCTGCAATATCTCCCTCTAAATGCCTCTGAAAAAATTAATAATAATACTGTGACAAAAGAAAGCAAAAACAGTATCAATAGCAATACATATCTTGCAATCCCAAAACATGTGAAAGACCACTTGAATACCATCAACACTGACAAAACCCCATCAGTCAATTGCAAAAGGCAGTTTTACTTATTTATTTGTGAAAATTTATATGGCTGCCCAATTCAGTAACTCCAGGTGGCTTAAAAGGATATATATAACAACAATTTCTGCCTATCCCAGGCCCTTGGGAAGGACTGTGTTGGTGGATAAAAATACCAAATTGAGTCTAAACATCTAGTTAAATATGTGACCAAACGTAATAGTAATACTGCCAAATAAAACTACATTAGGTTAAATTTCCTCTTCTTTTCTCTGAATTCCAATTTCTTTTGCCTATTACTTTTTATACAGTATTTTCTCACTTTGCCTAGTGCTGTTTATTCCAAAGGAATAGTATGAGAGATATGTATTAATATCAATAACCATAACAATAATAAATTAATATCTTCACACATAATGGACTTTAGACTGACATTTAAAATCATTTAAAATTTTAAATGCAAAGACTTGCATTTCATTTTCAAATCCAGCTTCTTACGTTTATTTAGCCAGTATTTTTTCTAATTTCCATTGTATCATGTAGAAGCCACATTGCTCCTATGTTCCATAAACTCAGTTCCAAATATGCCTCATCATCTTCTTCAGGTTTACTTTTTGCTTACTTGAGTCCAGTCTCCTTCAGTCTGTAGTCTCTTCTAATATCGTCTTTCCCTTTCCTTTCCTTTCCTTTCCTTTCCTTTCCTTTCCTTTCCTTTCCTTTCCTTTCCTTTCCTTTCCTTTCCTTTCCTTTCCCCTTTCCTTTCCCTTCCTTTCCCCTTTCCTTTCCCTTCCCTTTCTATACAATGCAGGGTAGTCATCTTTATATTAGGGTCACAATGACTCCATGAGCTAACAGATCTTAGCTCAAGATCACCTAGTGAACTCCACAATTAAGTGGGGATTTAAATCTAGAACCAATAATCCAAAACTCAAATTTCCCCAAAGTGAGTCTTAAACATTCATACATTCACAAGAAGTCATGTACACTTGCAGCAAAAATAACTAAAGATATTTTTATTAGAGCATTGGTTTCATTGAAATTGAAATGCATTCATGAATTTGGAACTTTTAAAGTAATAGAAAAATAATAATAGTTTTTGAGCACATCATGAGCACATGAGCATTTCTTCCTCATCACTGAGGGAAGCATTAGCAATTCTGTTTGAAATTCTGAGAAAATGTTTCTTCCAGTCCCACCAAAACATACTCTACAAACCCTTTCTGTTAGAATTTCAACAGCACACATTGCTACTTACCCCAAATGCCCCATAGCCAAAGATGATAATAATAAAATTAATCACATCAGCAATGAAGATGAAAACATAGATATCACAGACTGGGCTGTTCTCGGGATAAATGAAGTCATAGAAGAACTGCTTGATAGGCCGATAAATCCAAAGCATACTGGGGGTAAGAGTTTATCTAGATCCGTCAAAGTGCAAAGTAGAGTCATATTTGTTAAGATAAAGTCCTTGCTTAAAGTTCAAGAAAAAAAGTGATAGCATTGTTAACAGACACTGCAGGAAACACACAAGCTAGCTAGTTGAGATAAGGTTGTAGACCCAAAGAGTGGTCTAAATGTGGACTAAGGAACCCATCCTTTTCAGGGCCTCCTATTTCTAGAGCTGGATACCCCCTTCTCCTTCTGCTCTTTCCCACATACAGTAATCTGATGCACATTACCCTCAGGTTGAGTCAGATATCAAGCTGATATATCTGATTTCATTCTAGGACTTCTCAACTCAGTTAACCATGAAAAGACAGTTATTGTAATTAAAAATGAAAGCAAACCACAAGATATTATTCTATTTTGCATCATCTGTCTTTATGACAAAGACTTCATCCCGTCTTATTATGGCTAAATTGGAGGGCAGTGTGTGTGTGAGGGAGGTTGAATCTGCTTCTGATTTATCTATTCATAAAGCCATGATCACAGAGGCATCCCCCGAAGTAGGCAAATGACAAAATGAGTATTACACCATTGTCATTGAGCTCTGTCTCTTTTGTTCACACATTGTGTTGTCACACATACATACAAAACATGCAGAACTTAAGTAGAACAATGTAATACTCCTTGCATCATTCTGACCTCAGATCTTCTCTCAGAGCCATGTTCTTTGCATCAACAAGCCTAAACAAAATCTCGAAGATCTTGACCATTTTATAGTGAAAAAAAACAAATGTAGCGTGTTTCTTTCTTGTAGAATTCTATGTAGCAGCATCATTTTTTCAGGCATGATCATCAGACAATGTAAATTTGGTGTCTATTTTTCCTGCCATCCCCTGCCCTACTTGCAACTCTGCTCATTCAAGGTTGCAACACCTTACTTTCTTTAGGTCAGTGTTTCTCAATCTTGGCAAATTTAAGATGGGTGGATTTCAACTCCTAGAATTCCCCAGCCAAGAGAAGTTCAAGTCTACCCATCTTAAAGTTGTCAAGATTAGGAAATATTGTTTTAGAGATTCTTTTTTTTTTTAAAGGAAACCCTCCATTTACATTTTAATCAGCAACCTTTTTCTCTTAAGTATTTTCTGGTTTATTGTTTCTTTAGAATGTCTCTTCTTGCCAGAGGGAGGTTTTCTAAAAAGGCTGCATGACTTCTGGACTTCTTTTAGAGATTTGTCTGCCAAAAAGAAAGGAAAACAGTCATTATGCTATCTGACAAGCTTCCACATGACAGGAGCAATTTTTTAAAAAATGCTCTGACTTCTGATGGGGTTCCATTCCCAAAGCACTGTAACAATTGATCTTCAATCCAATCAAGCCTTCTGAAACATTAAAAGACATGCCCCTATGCAAATTCTTGTGTGGGAGAATCCCCCTAAAATGGCAACTAAAGAATCTAATGAACACAGAGGGGTCAAGCTTTCACCTTTTGATTGCAAAAAAAGTTTAAAGAAATGTGAAACTTCTCAACATAAACCAAACCACAACAATAACAGTGAAAGTGAGCAAGCTGTTAGGACAGGGGGAGGCCATTTAGGGGAGGTTGAGGGACAAAGTGGAAAGAGTGATTTAAAAAATAGACAAGCCTGGGATTTTCAATATTTATTCCCATTTCTAAGGTAGGGGCTACTTTTGTTTCTCAAGTAGATTGAGTTTATTTTATAGTTTATGTTAGATTTGTCATCTCAAAACGATGGGAAATCACTTTGCCCATGTTCAACAAAGGCACTGTGGTTTAGTTGGAGAAGTTTCTAGAACCACAAAAGGGGATTCGGAGCCTATGGTTACACACCCTAAGAAAGGATAACAACAAATGCAAATGAAATTTGAAAGGATCACTTCAAATTATTTCCTCCCTCAATGCCAGAGAGCTTAAGACATACAGCATTGATTTCTTTAATGGACCATCTTCCTTTGAGAGGCATGTTAGGATCATCAGTGGATTTTATTATCCCCACAAAACAGAAGACCAGAGATCACAGCCAGGAGGCTGCAGAGGGGAATGCAGGCTATTATTTTATATTTCTGTCAGATCTTAGACTAGTGAATCTGAATCAAGGACATATATCAAGTGCTAAAATATAACTAGGCTTTTGTATTCATCTTGACTGAGTAGGAAGCTGCTATTAGCTTCTCCCACTTTGACAATAAAATGTTCAATTCTCCAGCTCTTCTTTTATTAGTATATTCTTGACTTTTATTCTTCCTGCTGATCAGGAGGGACAGGATTACATTTTCTCTTTCTCTCTTCTTTTCATAGCAAGAATAGTTTGTCCACACATTTGCATTTATCTACCTCTATTAGCCCTCTTAAAAATGTTCCTAGGGAGATGCCATCCTTCTGAGCTAGACTGATGTTCCTTCGAATGATTTTTGCAACCTTTCTTCTTAGGTTTCTTGGCCATGTCCTTTTGTTTAGGATCTAGTATTTTGGAATCCCAGAGCCCTTGGCACTGTGGGACAAAGCAAAGTGAAAGTTATTGCATGTGGGAATCTTAAACCACATTTAAAGGAAGTGAAAGAAAATGCAGGGTCTATACATGCATAATTCCCATACATGTCACAGCACAGAGCAGGAGAAATAATTGGAGCTTTCATGAAGAAAGTTGGCTGTCAAGTAACCACCCAAATTTCAGTATTTGAGGTAAATCAGATTAATGCTTGAGGACAGAAAAAACATTGATGATCCTTCAAATATTATGACTATATCATTGACTGCCTCACTTGCTCTATGACAAGTCTATTGTAGAATTAGGGAAACTTCAGTCATGTAGCTGGAGGAGTTTTGTATTAAAAATTACAGCTTGGGAGCTTTTAGTTGAAAAAGGGAAATAATTGGGAAAAGAAAGAAAAGTGTAAAGAAGGAACATCTCTCTTTCTCAATGATAGTACAAAACAATTTGCTACTCAGAAGAGACCAAAAGAAATGTTTTATTACAAAATGTTTGGCCAAATTATAGATTTTTTTTTGTTTCCAGAAGTTAGGAAGTTAATGAAATTAATGAAGCATAAGGCTGTCGATGAGTGTGATAGTTCTATATTAGCTGCAGTTTTAAAGGTAGTATATTTGCAATGACATTTCCATCTGCTAGAAAACATGAGTGTCACTCTCTATTGCATCAATGTTCTTCTGGTGGGACATGACTATGGGAAAGTGATTGATCACCATAGGTGATTAAAATCACCATAGGGACTAGTTACTGGACTAGATAGGTTTTTGATTTACAGGGCTCTTCTGATGTTATCATAGACATCTGCTGTACTACATGTTAACAAATCCATGTTTGAAAAGGCGGATTAAAGTCTTTCTTCCTTATTAAGGATAGTTTGCAGTACCTTCAAGATGTACCTGTGCAAGAACAAGGCCAGGAGTTGCATGAGATCATACTGTGCATATCCATCTTTCTTCTCAATCCCAATTATATTTGGCAAGGCAAATGGTGCTTCTGCCCTGATACTACAATATATCTGAGAAGACCAAGGAAAGAATCCAAACTGGGAAATACATTTGGTCACAATCATTATCTGATAGAGAAAGGAAACATATGTAGATTATACTATTATTACAAAGTGATAATTCTTCAAGATTTCTAAAACAATGAGCAGTGCTAAAGTGGGGTTAGTGGTCTGTTCTACTACGACACAGGCCTTGTATTTTATCCTGCTTACTTATTGATAATCTTTTCAAAGGAGAAAGTCAGTAGAAACTGTGGGACAATATTAAAATTTATCTTGTAGGATTCGGCTGAAATCAGTGTTTTCCGCTCTTATCCATGTGTGTTTTCCCAGGTTAATTAGTAGGAGGACATATATTCCAGATACAAATCTTCATTTATTCAAAGGCCTGTGTTGGAGGATGCTAACAAGAGGTCCTGCTTTCCTCCTTTTTGCCTGAGACTTTGTGCCATGTTCTGCTCTAGTTTTCTTTCTTTCTAATGTGATCAGTAGTTGCTTCCAAGTCAGAGACTAAGATTTCCAGGTAGGCTTGAGACCTCTTAGTGCCTAATCAGTTCTTTATTTCAGTGAAGCTCAATGGGGAGTGAAAATGATATACAGAGAAGAGTACAGCAACTAAATGCAGCAACTTCTGAACACTTACCTCAGTGTAAATTATTGCTGTCATCCAGAAGAATTTGGTGGGCCTTGGAATGGATAGCATGGGCCACAAGAATATCAAGATGGGGAGAACCAAAGTAAGAATGGAAGCAGAAACCATGTGGTTGACAATGATAACAAAATAACATAGAATTTCTGATGTAGAGACCATAACATGGTACAAAGCAACTCCCAACTTCGGGAAAGGAAGGCACTGGTAAAATTTATCCGACTGCTCCAGCTCATTGTCATGAAGAGTGCTAAACCATATTTAAGGAAAAATTACAAAAGAAATGTCATTAACTACTGTAACGTATTTTCCCTTCTTAGCATTTTCCTGCAGGTGCTGGGTCTGCTTTTTGGATCATCTTGATTCCTTGGTTGTATCAAGAATTGACTAACTGCTTTGTTGCCTGAGGCTGATATTATGGACTGAGAAAGAGTCACCCAGCCAGATTTCATGCCTAAAGCATGGCAACTCAAAGTCTCCTGTTTCTAGCCTGGTGCCTTAACCACTAGACCAAACTAGCTCACAATTAATAATTGTAACCAAGATCATATATACTAGCATGCATCGACTCTAGAATAAATAATATCCTGAACTTTAGATGAAGTCATCATGAACATCTCTTTCATTTTTTTCCCCCACTGGGAATTGTTGGTACTAGTCAGCCTTCCACAACTGAAACCATCCAAATGTGTTGGGATTGTGAATTTCAGTATTTCACCCAGTGTGTTGGAGAACACAATGGAGCTTTGAGATGTCTGTTCTGGATTGTATCAGAACAGCGAACAAGAGGCACTCACAGAACAGAATGGGACAACTCAACACAGCTAACTTGCCATAGCCAACTCACCATGGCCAACTTGACACAGCCAACTCACCATGACCAATTTGCCACAGGACAACTCACCACAGCCAATTCGTCAGAGGACAACTTGCTGTGGGACAATTTAACAATTCAATTTAATTATTTAAAATAAATTAAAAATTATTTTAAAGTTTGACATTCACATTTCATTTTGTCCCTCCTTTTGCATCCTTTCTTTAATGATTCTATTCCACCATTTCTTTGATATTAGTGTAACTCTTGTCCCACAGCGAGTTGTCTGGTGTGAATTGGCCATGGTTAGTTGTCCCGTGGTGAGTTGGCTGCAGCAAATTGGCCATGGCAAGTTGGCTGTGGCAAGTTGGCCATGGCAAATTGTTGGCTTAAGGATTTTGCAATCTTGAATTCATGCTCTTCAAAAGCAAACTGAGATCAGAAGGCAGTCAATAAAAGTATAATTAATGGGATATGCCTTGCCTGTTAAGCATCACTTCACTGGTTGTCATCATTGGAGAAATTTCACCTAATGGTTTGTCGACTTCTGGACTTCTAGTGAACCAGGAATCTGCTGATTCTTGAATTTCTGATGGAGAGCTGGAAAGAATGGCAGGTTCCGCACAGGAAGTGATCAGAGTGAATCCTTGGGAGTGGGCTTCTTTTTTATTTCCCCCTTCTATCTTCTCAGTCCCCATTACATCTTTATCAGTTTCACTGGATCGCCTGATTTCCAAAGACACAAAAAATTGCCCAAAAGTATTTTAGTAACTCCAAGACTGAGAGGAAATTTTTACAACAGCTGTTCTTCAAAAAGAGCTGTTAAAAATTCATAATCCTTCACTTCTGAATCATTTTTACCATCAGGGATTTGTGCAAAGCAAATATCAGTGGAAAAAAGCTTCTTGATAACTAGAGACATTTGAGTTCTTTGTTAGAACGAGGGCTGGCAATGCTTCTTTGCTCAGAAATTCCATATTTGGTCTCCAAAGTAAAGATGTCACCATCAAAAATTTGTGTTTTACCACCCAGTATAGTTGGGCTGAGAGAGACCACACATTTGGTCCATGGGTAACAGGTTGCTTAATCATAAAAATCTAATGAATATCCTTTGTCCAAAGTCAAGTTGAAAAATCTAAAAAAAGCACCAAAAATGAGAAAGTGGGTTTTGTTTTTCTCCTGTTTGCACAGATGTCTCTGTATGGGAGTCACATCATAAAATCATAGGTTTTAAGGGACATTTGAAATCATCTAGTCAATCTCACAGTTTCCAGTGCTTTTGGAGATCATCTAGTTTTGACCTGCCCTGTGTAGAAATCCTCCTGTTTGTTTATTTATTCATTTATTTATTTCAAACTCCTATGGCTGCCCATCTTAAAAGCACAGTTCTGAACACTTTACAATAATTATATAAAAACAAACTTCATGAAACAATAGAAGCAAAAACAAACAAACAATAAAACAGAAAGAAAAAACTGGCATCACAATCAATCTATGATGCATTTTATTTGTTGGTAGAAGCAATACCTGCCATCCAAGTCTAATCTAATTTTAAACAGTCATGTTATCTGCAAAGGCAGCCACCTTTAAAGGTTTCCATTTATGAAGACCACTTCAGCTCTCCTTTACCTGCACCTGCAGTGTGAAGACCGCCGGCATTCTTTGCTTTAAAGACAGCATTCCTCAACCTTGGTAACTTTAAGATGTGTGAACTTCAACTCCCAGAATTGTTAACTAGCATGCTGTCTATGGAATTCTGGGAGTTGGAAGTCTATATATCTTAATGTTGCTGAGATTGACAAATGCTGCTTTAAAGGGTTAAACGCAAAAGCTGAGATAATGTCTTTGTGGTTATGTTCCATTGATTTTTAATGGGCAAAAAAGATACTACAGATTCAAGTATATATAAATCCACATACATCTCTTTCCCAACATCACAGTTTATTTCCTAATATATAGGAACATTACAAGAACCTGAAAAAAGAATACTGCAGGTTTCCACCTTGTGGCAGGCAGTTCTTCTTACCTGAGTTGCACACATGAAGGCTCAGTATTCTCAATCAGTGGAGATTCAGATAACTTGTCTTGGCTTTCCTCAATTCCTATTACTTTGGCTTTATATTCTTCATAAACTGACTGATTATTCTCAAATCTGTAATGCTGTAGAATCATATCTGCTGAAATCTCATTTTCCTTTAGAAAAATAATAATCCAAATCACAGTTAATTGGGTGGAAAGAGAGCAGTAAAGGAGAATTAAATAGAATTGTTTTTTGGTCCATGAAAGCTCTAAAGAAATTAGTATTATCTGGAACGAACATATTACATGAACTGCAGAAAATCACAAGTGAAGAGAAAAGCTCTTCAACATATTCCACTATCTTTAGTAGGAATACAAGAAGTGGCCTTCTATTGAGTAGAACCCTTGATGATTATTTAGCTCAGTTTAGTCAATGCTAGCTAGCATCATTTTTCTGTTTCTTGAAGCAGGATTTTTTCCAGCAGTAGGTCTCTGCTAGAGATCTCGCCTATTGAGAAATGTATATGGCCACCTATCTTATACCTGATAATTCTAAGTAAAACATAACAAATTAAACTGATTGCATATATTCCAACCATAGTACCACAATGTCCCATGAATTCTATATTTATACCTGCATTTGCTGAATTCACCCTAGCAGCAGAAAGCAGTCACTCCAGCAATAATTGGCCATCTGACTGGAGACCAAATGCAGTTCAGGACAACTATCCACAGAGTCACTATGAGTTGACATCAACTAGCAACAACACAACTAAGCCCAGTAAAAATAATAAAATTCAAAGTCAATAAATCAACAAATCCAGTTTCTTAAATTAAAACTGCAACTAAAACACAAAGCCTCTATAAATTGTAAACTACGGTACTTCAAAATCCAGCAATCTTACCTTGTTCATCTGTTGCCAAAGAATATATTTTTCCATTCTCAATACATCAGCAATGTCCAAATTATCTTTAACCAGGGAATTAAGGGCTTCTATAATGTCATCCATCAATGCATGCATCAAGATGAAGATAAGCTTGATAATGTTGATTATTCTTTGCACAATACTTTCTGTTGTGAAGAGAACAAGCGTCTTATTATGAGAAAAGCTGAGAGCCCAACACCATTCCAATTCTGAAGACCCTTTAGGAATCTGCAAGGCTTGGGGCATAACCCTTATATTATAGTTATAAAAACTGCTTCGCTAATCCTGCTCTGAGGAATGCTCATACACACATAGAGAATGCTTCAATCTGTAACATTGATAGCATCTGTCTGTAATTCAGTGACATTTATTTGCTTAGTTTATTCTGTATTTTGCATATTCATGTTATGAACTGTCCTCTAACAGTTATTATAAATTCATTGGCATTGGTATACTTTCAGTTATATAGCTATCTGGCAGTTAATTTAGAAGTGATATTAAATGTATCTTTCCCTTTAACATTCAGATTTTCAAAATGCAAATGGTATCAATTTATGTGGTGGAGCTATAGAGAGAGAAAATTTTATTAGAGTATCTTGTCCTGCTACATTCCTTAAACAAACCCTTTTCTCTGAAGCTGATACTTTGTGGGAAAGTACTCTAAAACTGTCACTGTGATTTTTCCCCAATACTCCAGAAATCCTTCTCATACAAAGAGATTTTCCTGAGAGTTCACCAGCAGAAGAAAGAGTTATATACCTCCCTTGCTTATGATTTTAATAATTGTCATCAACCGTTGCAAAGTGTAAAAATGCATTTAATGTGATATACCAATTTTCATGCAAATTTTTATTACACCTGCTTGACCACAGTAAAAATCCGAAAGCCACTTATATCTGCAATATAATATTAACAAGATAATAAAGTTGGAACCATATGGAATAATAATGAAATAGAAACCAGTATCAGAAAGTCATAACTATTTGTGGTAGATATGGTAAACTGGAACTTATTGACTCAAAATTTTCTGTAGAATCCGTCCCTTCAAAGCAGCATAAAAATATCACCATCACCATCATGGAATTAAACCCATTAAAATTTAATTTGCAGGACATTTGTACACTGTAGCCCTCAGCTGCTTGCCTCCCATGCATAAACTGGAAATGAAAACATCCTTTTTCCCTCCAAATTAGACACAATGATGGCCAGGTGTTCTGTCTCAACTGCATCTAGCATAGATCCTCATTGGTGGATTCCCCTGCTTTGATGACATGGCCTTCTTCCCACCCTTCCAAGACTGGAAGGCTGAGTTATAGCCCTGAATACCTTGATGTTTACTCACCTGTGACCTGCATGAAAGATAGATGAGTGATTCATTAGTTTGCACGCAAATGATTTCTGTACAATGGAATTAATTACCTGACTTATCCAAGTCCTCTTCAAAAGTCAGTATCTCTATATTTTCATCACAGGATTCCAAACTGACATTAGCTAAACACACAAAACAAAACAAAAACTAAAAAATGAGAACAGCATCCAAGAATTATGACTCAGGCCAATGCCCTTGATGAAGGGACCTTAATGAAGTTGTACTTGTAAATATATTGAGGTTTCCACCTTTCCATCAACAAGAATTTAAATGTATTTTTAAGTGAAAAAGTTTCCAAATATATTAATAAGAGGTAGGGGATGCTTTAAAATATAGTATTCCCCACTTCTAATCAAGCATGGTATAACTTAGTGAAAATAATATCATGTGTATAAGTATCTCCTACCTCTTTCAGCCCCTGGTAGTTGCTCATCATTTTTCCTTTCCTCCTTTTTATTTTTTTGACTTTTGATTTCATCTTGCTCTCTCATATTTAGAGCTGATTTTGCATTCCTCATCCAGGCTTCATACGCAAGCTGCAAAGAGGACAGAATCTTATTGAGCAATGGCTAACTTGGAGCAGAATATATTAAATTATCTCCTCTTGAACCTGCCTTTAAACAAAATGGTGGGTTTTGTAAAGCAGCCAAAACATAAAATAAAATTGATGTATTGAAAGAAAATAGAATCTAGTTCCTCTCCCCAGTTTCACAACTATTGAAACCATTAGGGGAGGTCAACCATTGACATGAGGCAGTTGTTAAGTGAATCACTGCCGTTGTTAAGATTCACAGTTAAATGAATCCAACTTCCACCACTGACTTTGCTTGTCAGAAGTCAGTTGGAAAGTTTGCAAATGGTCATCACATGACTCTGGAACACTGCAATTTGGGCTGGAGTGCACCCAAAATTTGATGATATGATCATGGGAATGCTGGAATGATTGTAAGTGTAAGGACCAGATGTAAGTCACATTTTTCAGTACCATTGTAACTTTGAATGGTTGTTAAAAGAATGGTTGTGAATCAAGGATACAGAATTGTATTCCCACAAAGCCTGAATAGTTTTTGCCTACCATTTAAAAATAACTACATGCCTATGTGCCATTTCCATTAGCTCTCAGTCACTACCCCAACTCAGTTTTTTCCTCTCCATAAATTGGTCACACCTGCCATGCTGTTTTCTTTTTAAAGAATTCTTTTTTGCTTTTTTCAGAGTGTTCATGTTCTTCTTCTTCACTATCTGTATCAAAAAGGCAATAGCTCCCACTTTGAACCACTGAAATAGACAGGAAATGCAGATATTAAAAAAGTCTTATGGAATTCTATGCCATATAGACAAAACTCAGATCTTTCAGCCATGTTTTCAGCTCCTCAAGATTGCAGCTCCATGGCCACATTACTTACTCACAAATACTAAAACCAATCAAAACAGCTTTCTATCTAACCTGGTGTCCTGCAGATGGAATTAACTTCAGCTCCCCTCTGAGGGTTTTTACCTGGATCCTCCTCTTCCAATATCTGATCAGACTCTGCTCCTAGTACTTTGCAGGAACTTTGGTTTTTAAATTTTGGTTTAATCAAGTCCATCCTAAAAAATCACAAAAAAACAGATGATTTCCTGGCTCCAAAAAAAAGTCAAGGATGCATTTATATCAATATAACTGAGATTTTTTTAAAGTCTATGCTAGTATTATGATTTCTTTCCTTTCTCTCTTTTGCAGGCTTCACTTGCTTGCCAATATAGAATTCAGCATATATTCTTCCTATGAAGGTTAAATATGTAAAGTACAAGATGTCTGAAATTTGAGCTTATTTCTTTTCCCAATAATATGTACCACACTTCCATATTTGTGGACTTAAGGGTCATCAAGGACCATAATTTCCATTTAGCATCTTTACATATATGAAGATCCTTTCACTGAAAAGACTGGGGGGAGCATTTTAACTCACATTAGCTGCAAGCATTTTTTGTAGTTATGGTATGCATTTAGGCATGTAGACTTCTTTGGACCACCGAAGACAACAATAAATACTTTTATTTGTAAATTGTCCCAAATTTCACAGACTATTACTCATGAATATATTGTATGTGATAACTACAGTATATGCTACAGTTGAAGAAAAAGTTGCCACAAAAACAAAATTTAGGAAAGACAAAATATTTATGCAATACTTCTGGCCACAACAAATAATCTGATTGAAAGCTATCCAGCCTACATGGGTGACACTAATGATATTGACATACTAAACTGAAATATGCTGCCTTTAAGCTGAAAATCCATCATTAGTGCTTTTCCCAATTGAGCACCTCAGAAGAAAATAGATTTCTCATATTTCCTAGGTATGTTTTTGGATGCTGCTGCAACTGAATGTAGAAACTTACTGCTTTTTCATGATTTCCATTGATTTTCTATTTTGTTCCATCCGAGAAATCACCTTTTTTTTCAGTTTCAACTCAAACATCTCAGCTGCCCTGTTTTGAAAAACAAGTTGGAACAATCTTTCCAAAATTGTGCCTTGGTAGATCAAGGATCTAATTTATACAGTATTACTTTTTTTCTACATTAGAATGGTAGCCAGCAAGCTGTCTTTGTAGGAAACCCATGAAGCTCACAGACTGCTGTATTGATAATATTTAGATGTGTACTGCCTTCAAACAGATGTGTATGTAAAGGAGCCATTTAATTAATATCACTAACAGCAGAGGAATCTACAACAAAACTTTAGAGTATGGAATGCACCTATACTTTTCTATTGTCTGTACCATGTATAGGTAATCCACATTAATTGGATTATGTTGGTCTGAAAAATCACCACAATCCTTGCTCAAGCCTGCAGTGGTTTTAAATGTGTCATGTGAGCAGAACTCACATAGTCACCAGTTTCTCTAGTAAATTCAAGAAACTTAAACTGGGTAATGGAGAATAACATTAAGGCAATGTTAAATAACCTACTTTGTTCCATGTCAATTCTCTGCTTAGATGTTAGTTGCATCTGTTAATTATCCATCTTTAGCCTTGTTTCCATCTCAACTTACAATAACCAAGTGTAATATCGTTGTAAACTTCAATATTGGTGATAAATACCTGGAGGCTAAGAAATCTGTAGCCTTGAGATCAGTCACAATATAGAGATAATAGTAGCTCATAAAAACTCTTCTCTGAATCAGCAAGAAGGTGAAACATACTGCATCCCACAGGATACCGGCTTCATCCTTAGGCAATTCACATATCTCATTATTAGGTGGATCTGTGCAGAAACAATATTCACAAACTTGTTTTTCTAGGTGGTAAGTTGGAAATGTAGATCATCCAGTTTCCCTACAGAAAGAATCATGTTGCTGTTGTTGCTGTTTTTGTTATTACTAATATTAACAGATTTATACAACTTGCATTTTGTACAATGTAATGTGAATATTATGGAGACCATGAATGAAACTTTGTTTTGCAGAGATAGCAAGGATAACTTTAGCTCTCCAAAAGAAAACAAGTCACAAACTATATTTTCTCTTTTATTTATTTTTTGTCCGCAAAATAAAACAAATAAATACATTATGGCTTCTCTAGTACATTCTACAGTATGGGTAAAATTCCACAAAGCCTAAAATCTGTCCAATTGTTAAGTATCTCCAACCTTCAACAGAGAAGATATTTTTGCATAGAAATGATCCAAGCTATTATCTTCCATAAATTTGGTTCAAGGTGTCCTTTCAGTTAAGCTATATTACTGGTGAATATAAAGATGCTATTTTCTTGGTGATGATAGAGAAATGATTTACCATTGTTTTCTTTCAGGATATGTTTTTCAATTCCCAATCTAGTCTAAAGTCTTGGGAGTTCTTGGTAGTCTCTTGCTCATCCTTGGTTGAATGTTCCCAACATTCATTAGCTTTTTGTGATTGGCTATGAAACCTTTTTAAAATCTGAGTTCAAGAATTTGCTTTTCTGCTTAGACAACATGAATCTCCTGAATCTATAGAACCTATTTATAAAAATCAGTTGCATAGCAGATCTATATTACAATTTTTGAAGGCTCTCATAATTTAATGTATCAATGAAGAAGCTTCCAGCCACCTGTATCAATCAGCAATACATGAAGGAGCATAAACTACTTTAAGAATAATTATGTCTTATTCCGGATAAGAGTTCTTGTCTAACTGCCCTCACATTACTTACTGTGACTGGCCACTGCTTTTAAAGATTTTTTCCAAGAACTCAGGAACAATTGAGTCTAAGATCTTTTGCATGGAAATCAAACATTCTACTATTAAGCTTCTTCCCCAGATGCAACATTTTATATTTTTTTCAGTTACTTGTGGTAGTTATCTATATATACATGGATGCCTGTGGTGACACATACACATATACGGTAAGTGGGAAGATAAGGGAAAGAAAAATAAAATAAAAACCTTTCTGCCAGTTTCAGACCTGTAATCTTCTATTTACATGGCAAGAGTCATATAATTATACTATTAGGCGTTTATGCTAAGGCAGGCATGTCAAACTTGCGACGTCACGTAACGTCGTGCAACGTATCGGGCCAGTTTTGCTATTGCCAGCAATGGGATGGGCGCAGCTTCCATGTGATGTGTCCGGCCCGTAGGCCGGTAGTTTGACACCCCTGTGCTAAGGGAACCCAAAAGTGCTTTTTCAAAAGGCTACTGGACTTTCTTTGTTTTTCCTTGAAGATGTTTGCTTCTCTAGTTTTGACTGAATGGTGGAGAATGGAAGGATCTATATTCCTTACAGTCATCTGGACATTAGCACTCTCTCTGAGAGCTGTTCAGGCCATTTGGATTTTTATTTGTGCCCTCGGGTCACTTGAATAGTGCAAATGGGTGTGGAACCTTTTTGGAACTACTGAAAGGACTGTGTAGTAAATAGGTGGTGTTGTATTCCTTCCTCTCTATTGAGAGAGGGCTGTTCAGTTTTAATGTAGATGGCCTCTTTGATCTCTCTTTCAAACCAGTGTTCCTCTCTGTCCAGAATGTGGACTTTGCTGTCTTCAAAAGAATAGCCTTTGTCTTTCAAATGCAGATGGACTGCTGAATTCTGACCTGATGGTTTTTTCTCCTATGTTGTGCCATGTGTTTGTGAAGTGGTTGTTTTATTTTTCCAATGTACTGCAGGATAAATACATTGAAGGGCCATAATCTACCATTCAGGTCCAGTGCAGGTTAGTAGATAATTTTGACTTTCTAATCCCAGGTTGAGGGAAACGCCCCAAAGTCACTCATTTGGCTTCTGTGCCCAAGGGAGGACTAGAACCTGAATCTCTCCACTCTTAGTCCTGCAACATAACACAACAAACCCAGGAAGTAAAGTGAAGTGGGTCTATAATTCTCTTTAAGGAACATTTGGGATGCCTTATAATATAAAGACTATCTTTCTATGGAATTGCTTCTCACTTACCTACTTCATATCCTGGTATTGTGCAATACATAGCAAAGCACTGAATTAACCAACAATAATTTATTTGTAATTTATTAAGGTATGCACATGCTCCAACCTGTAGAAAAAAAGAAGGGAGGAAAAAAAACAATTTAGCAGGGATTGGAGCTCCAGATCTTTCCCCTGCCCCATGGGGAAGGGGGGGAGGAAGATAATACAAATAGGGGGTAGTAAAATTGGAGCTCTTTCCTTAATGATCAAGAATCTGGTGATCAAATGGGCAAGTATGTAAATTTGTTTTACAAATAAATAGAAATAAAATTTAAAAATATAAAAATATTTTGAATGTGTTTGAGCTTTTAACTTCCCAAGTGACTAAATTGCCCAGTAGTGGCCTCAGGAATGGAAAGTCCAAATTGGAGTTTTGAATTGGAAAAATTCAAATATAACCCTATCACCACCTGCTGTAAATTATTATAAGAATTCTCTTCTTTGATTATGCAAACACAGCAACTTTCTTTAAGGTTTTTTCTAGACTGCAACTTGGATTTAGAGTTGTCCGTGGGTAATCAAGGGAGGATAAAAAGCTTTACTCTCTTTGTAAGTAAGTCATAACATATTTGTGTGTAAGAAAAGAGCAGAGTTTGCATCGTGACAAAAATATTTCATTTTGATAAGAACAATGGATCCTGCAGGCACATCTGCTTATGTTAGTAACTCCTGTCAGCTCAGCCATTGGCTATGTTTGCTGGATGACAGGAAGGCTAGATTCAGTTATCAGAAATAACCACCTATCATGTATTTCTCTTTTAGATTTGAAAAAAACATGCTGGAAGTTGTATAATCTCAACCTATGCAACCAGTTCTACTGTATCCTTTTAAGGATTATGAGCAGTGTCTGACATGTCTTATTTCATAATGAGAATTTCAATGTACTGCACTTAAATTCCCTCTGCATCAACAGTAATTCCAAACTATACTTCTTAAGGCTATGCCAAAATATTGAAATTTCTCACACTAGCCCTAAAAAGAGGCTTAGACTTCTCCTTTTCTACCCTATTCTTAGAATGCTTGAGAATTTCCTTTAAATTTCTCTTCTTGGTATTTTGAAGCCTAGTTAATTGTGGAATTGCTATCTGTGTTATTTTCTGCTGCATGGCTTTCCACCATTCTCAAGCTTCCTTAGCCATCCTAACTTCTCAATTTCAAAGATGGCCAGAGGGAGAAATTTCTTAAGAAAATTTCCTTGGGATCAAATAAAATTCCCTTAAGATTTAAATATAAGAAGCTATGAAAAATCAACTTATATGCCAAAAAACAAGACCTCCATACCTACTTCATATATAAAAAAGACCAAGAACATGAGAAATTCACCAGCACTCTTTTTTCTTTCAAAGACCATTTCAAAACAAAGAAACAAATCTTCTTTCATCCAGTTATTGTTAGAAATAAATGTAGAATAACTTTTTCTGAGGCAGTTTAGAATAAATAGATATTTTTGCCCACCCTCAACAAGTTGATCACAAACATTAACCCACTACATACAGCAAGAAGATTCTTTACTGTTATAACCAAAGTAGTGTAGACAATCACGTAGTCCCATGGTCTAAGAATGTCTCTGATGGGCTTCAGCTGAAGGCTTTGTCCAAAATGCATAAAGTAGAAGCAGGCAATGAAGTAGCCCACGCAGAAGATGCTGATCCTGGCTGTCCCAGTCACAAAAATTAGACAAAGGACAATCCAGAAGAGGTACTTGAATATAAGCACTTTCATCAGATCCAAATAAGATCTATTCAGAAGAAAATAATGAGAATAGAATTAATAGAAACTAGATTGTATAGTAATGAGGGAAACAAAGACAGAATTGGCTACAAGTTCTACAGAGTGTGCTGGTTTAATTCACCCACTATATAAAGCCACTTTGTTTATAATTATAGCTTGTTGGGTAGAGTCAGGTTTAAGTTAAGGCCAAATAGACATTGACCTAAGGTCCCAAAATTTAGGAGGCACCAATGCTGCCACTTCTTCCAAATTATTCTAAAAATGAAAATCTATGCATTAGCAGAAGGTGGCACCATCAGTTAATGTGTGGCGCCATATACCTTGAGGTGGCACTGCTGTTGGGGGAGGAAGAGAATTTGGAAATCACAGCTGCTATCAGTACCTGAAAAAAAATCAACATTATATTAAGAAGCACTCCCAAATTCAAATAGTTGTACTAGCTAGGAATTATGAGGATATACTAGACTAGAGGATAGTATATTGGGAAGTTGGTGTGCTTTCTGGAGAAAACCCAAACATAAACATGTTTTCCTTTATTTCTTACCTGCAATGGATAAAGTTTGGTACCCGACTGAATTCACTGAGATCTGCTGGGCCCAAATCTTGATTAATCTCTGAGTTATCTCCAGCTTGCAGCCTGACTACAGGCTGATCCTCATCTTCAAAAACTTGCCATTGGAAGGAAGCAAAAAGCAGAAGAAGGAAATCATCTGCCATAAGGAAGGAAATATTATTTTTAATCTAGAAAATGGTTTTACTCTACCTTCTTATTATAACATGTTTCTCCAAGAAGGCACCTTCTAGTATCTGTGTGTATAAACAGTCATATAAAATGTCATCTTGCTATCAATTACAGAAATGTCCATGCTCCATAATACTGAAAAACAATGCATCAATGCTGCAAAACTGCAATAATGAATCTTAGAGGCAACTATGCTGTTTTCACTTCTACCAGCTGCTTGAGTTGTTCAAGTTAGCCAGAAGAAGCAAAATTAACTTTACAAAGGTTCACTAGTACAAGATCAATTGCTTCCTAGAACAGCTCCCAAACCTGAGAAGATATAAAAAAAACCTGATGCACTAAAAGTGTTCTGCATGGAATTCAATATACAGTGATATTATAGGTAACTCAATGTCAAATATGTTTCCTATTTGTGCCAGAATACTGCACCCATATTTGGAATTTTTATTAAGGTACAATTTGTTTAAACTGCATTCTGAACTGAGGGAGCCTACATTAAAGAGTAGGGTGGGCATAGGTGGGCAACCTTTTGGAGACAGATTATTTTTTAAAAAAATGAGAAGGATTTAGCAAAGAATTGTAATTAGGGAATAGGCTCTCCAGAGGGGGCACATTCAGTTGGGAAGTGGGAAAATTCCTTTAGCAAGGTGTTTGCTAAGTCTTAAAAAAAATTAAATACTATTTTTATGGCAAGATCGAATGGGATACATATATTTGCCTTCATTTGTGATTATTTTTATTTTATTTTTAATAGTAAGAAATTGTACTGCCATGCAATTACACTCAAAGGTAACAAGATAGAAGTAAGATGAAGAAGGCTTTGCAACAGGAATCTGCAAGAGCTACAGAAAATGAAGAACAAGTCCACAGCCATACAATATATACAATCTAAATTAAAAAGGGGAAAGAGCAGGAATTTCATGCAGACTGGACAAGAAAAATCCCATGTCTGAAATTTTAAAGAACTCTGGGCAGTTCATATACAGTAAATCAGAAATAGACATTTAGTGCTCAATAAATTCTTTGGACTGAGATGCCCATATTCCTTGGATACTGAATATAGTAATTTTTCCAATAAGAACACCTTATTATCTATTCTACATATAGATAATATTGAGCTAGATAAACATTTTCCCCAACTGCAATTTGTACACAGAATTTAGCTGTAATTTATGTATTAGTCTTCTATTGCCATTCATCTCATTAAGCAATTCTGGGAGGACCTTAAGTATGTCATGTCATTTTCACTGTTACCTGCAAGACACAGTCCAGAACTATATTGGTCTAAGTATAAAATACATTTCCCCATTAAGCAGATGCTACCCTTTCCAATTTATACTTACACAGGAGAAAATGAGTATTGGGTCTCTCAGCAAAATCAGGCAGATAAAGCCACTTAATCAGATTTGAAGGGAGCATCCAGTGGGAATTTCTCCATGGATAATCTGCCAGCAAAGAGATCATCCGCATTACACAAAACGTCTTAAACTAATTTACAAGTTTGCTGTCCAGACAAGTTTGATGCAAAGGGAGCTGCTGAGCACTAGTAGCAAAGCCAGCCCTCTGCTCAATTATTTCTATTACCCTCCACGTGACATATCTCTGCTTCCCCACACAGTGTTGCATTCACCTTGGCACAAAGCAGGTGGGAGGCCAATACAAAGCAAATACTGAAAGGCCACAATGTTGGCAAGGAAGAAACAGTATTTGGGCCAGACTTGGGCTATTGCTTTCCTCTGACGATAGCTCAACAGGTAAGTCAGCCAACTTGCATGGATAAGTGCGTAGAGGTCCATGCGTTGCCCAATCACATTAATTGCCGTCACAAAGCATATCTGAAAAAAGGAGAAGAGGCAGCTGAGCTAACATCACAATGGCGCCAGGTTGAAGGGACTTAACACTGAGCTCAAGAACTGAGTCTGCAATCATATACAGGTAGTCTCAACATATAACCATAATGAGCCTGCCCATTATGGTCATATGTTGTGATAATTGTAAAACTGGTATGTCACAATATTTCTTGTGACGTTTGTTAAGCAAACACTGTGGTTGTTAAGCAAACCAATGGTTCACTATGGGCATTACTTCCTAGTAAGCTACTGGTTACAAATCAAGGACAACCTGCATACAATATTGGAAACATTTGCTTCATAATTAGTGAATCCTTTATCATACAAATCTCCCATGTAATTGTTACAAGCATGTCTTGGTTACAGTACTACTATTTCAAAAACTGCACTAGTTACTATTTAGTTTCTGGTATAATCAAAGCACAGCTAATCATATTTAAAGGCCTTTATGGCTATATATTTATCTTCACTAATAGTAGTGTGCCTACTATACAACATGTTGTATATCTAATACAACATGGTCTTATTAAGTTAAATTAATCTGATACTAAAAGAAAAATGGTAGAGGACAGGAAGACCTGGAGGAACTTTGTCCATGGGGTCGCGATGGGGCAGACATGACTTCGCAATTAACAACAAAAGGAAAAACAAAAGAAGAGAAAACAGGAGATACAAATAAAGATTATTAAAAAAGTAAAAACTTGTTCACCGTTCAGTATTTATAGCTATTCATTTGTGTTTTGCCTTCAATGGCAGACAAAACCATAGTACTTCAATAAATATAATTATATGTAAGCAGGGGAAAGTGCAACTTTGATATACCACTGACAGCAATTCACCTTCTGTACAATTCAATATAGATGAATCCAGTATTTCCCAATCCAGTAACTCTAAGATCTGCTGCGATTACAACTTCCAGAATCCCCAATCAGCATGCCCAGAGGCTAATTTTTTTGTAATCTAATATGGCTGAAGGGTTGTGGATATCACAGTCTCAAAACATTTGAAAACATTGGACAGACTAAATACTGTACAATGCCTTATCTACATGTTTGTAGGGAAGACAGATTAATTTCTCTCTGAATTCCCAAAACTATAAAATGAGGTAGTCCATAATGTGAACCAGGTGGCAGAAAGCTTCACCTTGCCTCTGCACTTGGCTCTCTGGGGCCACATCTGATTACTTCCTACTTGAAACCACACATCTTTTGTCTTCTAAGCTGCCTGTTTCATTCCCCAACACCAAGAAGATATGGTCCTTTCTTACCAACATTTTCTCACCTCCAGTCCAAATTTGTAAAAACTATAGTTGAGAAAGTATTTGATGCAGTTGAGTAGCCCTTCATCCAAGTTCTCCCGGGCAATATTATTAAAAAGGCTACCTGTGACAGGTGGCAATAGTTGCTTCTGAGTCCAGTAAAAATATTGGTGGCGATACACTGTTGCTTCTAAAGCCATTAGAATCAGGATGGTAAGATGGTTCTAAGAAATACAGGAAAATATATCCTTCATAAGAATGCTCAGTTTCCCCAAGTATCCTAATTACCTAAAGCATCTATGTTTTTTCCTCTTCAATAGCTCACCCTACTGAGACAACTATATACTGTACTTGTTTACAATGGCCGTTATCCATGAATCATTCTCTTTTGATGGAAGACAGAACTGTTTTTCCAATGATCCTCCTTAATGGTGGATCAATGGAAATCAAGTACTAGTGCTAAAGTATGGTTTAGGTCTGCTTTTGAACATCTAACAGACCATATTTTTTGAAATAGCAAAATGTCTTAAACCAGTCTAGTTCCTAAATTTAAAGTGATATTATAAAGTTTGTCTGTTAATATTATTAGACAAATATTAGTTTTCCCACTGGAAGGACTAACGTCAGACTCATTGTCTTATAAGCAAAAAGATTCATTCTGTAATATTTATTCCCTTGCTTACCATAATATTAGTGCTTAAATAAAGTCCTACCTTTAGATAAAGAACAATATTGTCACTGCACTTCATCAGCCCTCCAATCCAGAGTGCTGGGTCAATTGGTGCCACGAACAAAGATGATTTCTCCAACAACTCATCAACACTGATAGAATGGTAAGTCATATTCAAATGCAGATCCTGAAGAGATGGACACTTTAGTAACTCATTCATTCTTCATTCGTTCAATTTATATGGCATCCTATTAGCCAAACGCTTCTGTTTTCAAAATTAATTACTTCCCATTTAATTTATATGGTGGCTCATTGGCCAAATGACTCTACAGAATACAATTGTACTTCTTGTTTTCATTTTTAAAGAAAAAGAGCAAGCAGAAAAAGCCCTCAAAGGAAAAAAAAAGGAGGGGACTATATTTTAGAAAAATACACATTCATTTGTTTATTTTTTTCAAACCTCCCCACTTCTAGTCCATACTATAAACCGTTCCAGGTCATACCACTTTTAAATTTTGGGGCTGCAATTCCAATACCTTGAAGATACCAAATTGTTGAAGGTTAAGTTAATCATCAGGAATGTGCAAAATGTTTTGTATCTGATTGAAGGAGCTGGAACACCTTCAAGGAAGTACAAAAAGTGCTTGAGAAATTTGGATCCTCAGCCCATTAGCACACTGACCTGAGTGCAGTTTGTGGAATAATTCCAGGGCATAATAAATTTCAACTGATACAACATTTTCCAGATGACCATCACACAAGACCAAAATGTACAGATTCTTGAGGCATAGGGACGAAATTTGGAATAAGGAATAGCAAATGTCCACACAATAAAGAAAACGTAGTTCATCAAACACACCTAAAGAAAATTGGACACAAGCAGATAAAAGTAAAAAAGCAAAGCCAACAGGAATCATCTTTGCAAATAAATCAATTTCAGTCTTCTGCTTCAGTCTTGATCAAGTAAAACAGTTGATCTAATCCATGTTGGAAAGTTTACCCTCAAACCTAGCCATAGTAATAGCAGTTTGATTTTTCATACATTTGTAACTAGACACAATACCCAATATAAAGATCAAGATATTGACGAATAAACACATTATATTTATAATCACATCTAAACTTTAGAACCCTTGTAACTTGAAGAATCCATAACATACCTAAATAACATTCTGGATTATTAGTTTATTAGTTTTTTAATTCTGTATTAAATATTAATAAATCAATTTCATGAAGGTCTGTAGAATAGGAGTGTTCTTTTCTTCAATATTTATATCCAGATTTATTTTGTTCTGCTTTCTTGATTGAATTCCTGCCTTAATTCCTGGTTTTCTCTTTGGACTGTTTCCCAGATGTGATAGTTATTAACTAACCTCTTGAAGTGTGATCCAGATAATGCAAGTGGACACAATCTTAAGGATGTGCAGCTCCAGAAATCTCCACGCAAGCACTTGGATTTCCTGAACTATTGCTATGATCTTCAGAAGACAAGGTGCCAAATTATCCACCACTTCTGTCCATTTATTCCTCTTTACCTCTAAAAAGAAAAGTAATTGATTTTAAAAAAATAAAATAAGCAGAATAAAAAAGGACCTGAGATTTGCCCAAGGGCTTGCACTTTAAAAGTTTCTCAATGAAGGGATAAACAAATAACATGGCAGAGAGAAATCTGATAAAACCACTGCTGTGCCCAAAGAAAAAATATTAGTTTGATGAAAATACTGCTAATTCTTTTTGAAAATTGCAATTATGTGAATAGAAGTATGACTAGAAAACTGGGTTGAATTTGCATATGAATTCATTCAACCTTGGCTTGTTGAGGAATTCTGGGAGTTGAAATCCACACACCTTAAAATTGCCAAGTTTGAGAAACATTGGTTCAAAGTCTGATGCTGTAGTCTGCACCTACTTCCAAGAATATTGCCAGAATTCACCAGTCGGGAGATTCATCCCACTGATGAATTTTGTTCCTCAAACCTAAAAATAGCACACCCCTTGCCATCTGTTTTATACTGGGATTGGGAGTCAAAATATTACATTTACAAAGTGAATGCCAAATTTATTACAATAAAGCAAACCACTACTTTCTATATTTTGAATAGAAGAGTTTACTCTTCAGCCTTACCATTTTCTGTGGTATTCTCAGACTTGTCCAGTCCATCTGGAAAAGGCTGTTGTAACGGCTCAGGAGCCAGCCTGTTTAAAATACATTAGAATAGCTAACCAGAGTAGTTATTGCATGGGTAATGAAGCAAGATACATTTTAGGTCATTCAGGTAATTTTTTAAGAGTTATTTTTCTTTATTGTTTATTTATTTATCAAATTTATATGCTGCTCATCTTGTGATGTATTACAGGTAATGAGGGAGACAATAATCCCTGACAAGTAAATATTTTTCAGGAAGTTTTTAATAAAACCAAAAGAAAATGAATGGTAGACTTGCATTCTATATGGCACTGCCCTTGAAAACCACCCAGAATCTTCAACTAATTCAGAATGCAGCAACACAGGCAGTGATGGGCATGCTTTTCTCTACCTATAAAGTCCTTTATGGCTAGGATACTTGAGAAACCACCTGTTTCCTATTGTATCTGTCTAGCTGATCCAATCTGGTAGAGTTGGCATGCTCCAAGATCTATTGATTAAACAGTGCAACTTTCAGGACATTGGAAGTGGGCCTTCTCTGTTGCAGCCTCAGCCCTCTGTAATAAGGTTCCCTTTTAGATTCTAATACCCTTGACTCTACTGGTATTTCGAAAGGCCTTGGAGACATGGCTTTTCACTCAGCCCTCTGGTAAAGATGTCTGTCATCCTTTTCCTTGTTCTTGTTCCCATCTTGCCATGTTTGTTCTTTGTTTTGTGTTTCTTATATTTTTACCTGCTTTTAAATATTTTTTTAAAAATGTTAACCTACCCAGAGTTGCTGGGAGTCAGGCTGCATATCAGTTTAAAAAATTGTTATCAATAATTATTAGTATTTGAATGTTCACAACATTTTTGCCTTAATCACCAACTGTGATTTTTCCTTGGTTTCTAGCTTTAGCGCTCAACACCCATGCAGTAAAACAAAACTACAGTCAGAGGCAAGGTACTTAGTTTCTTGCAAAAAGTGTCCACAGCCAGCATCACCAGAGAAAGTCCACCTGGAAATGAGCAGGTCAAGAGAACTTCCATTCCATAGAAATGGAAGAAAAATAGGTTTGGACTCAATCCTGAATTTACAGCAGCTGTAAATTCAGAAGCCTGATGTTTCTAGAACACTACCATCTTTTATATCAGTGGGATTGCATTCCTGCAAAACAGTAGCTCATACTCTGGTGTCCTCTAGGACTTCTGGCTCCTGCTTAAAGAGCAGATGGACTCTGTGGCCAGGATGAGTTTTCTTAGTTGGTGTATCAGTTGCAACCATACTTGGATGCACTGAGTCACCAATGCACTTATTATTTCTCATTTCAATCACTGCAACTCATTCCCCATGGGGCTGCCCTTAAAGACCAATCAAAAACTTAGTTGGCCTAAATTGAAATGACCCATATGCTTCCTGGTCAGTCTTGATACTGTGTTATTCTGTTGCTACAGGTACTGCACTGATTAACTATATACTTTCAAGGGCAATTCAAGGTGCTACTTTTATAGTATTGAGTAGTTCAGAGTCTAGGTATCTTTTTTCTGATAAATTCTGCCCACTTGACCTGCATAGGCTTCAAAGGTTAAGCAAATTCAAACATTTAATATTCTATGCATTTCAAGCTCACCTACTTTGCAGTTTCTGGAGTGTTTCCTTAACCCTGAAAAGTTTAAAAATAAAAACACAAGTGACATTGCAAGTACAGAAAATTCCCAAATGTTTTGGATTATAGACAAAGTCTTTCCCAAATGCTACTAGAAACATCTAATTGGAGAGGCCAGTTTAAGGACATCAGTGTCCTTTCAATAAGCCACAGCTCCTTTAGCAGGATCTTATAGTTCAAGTATTTACACATATACTTAAAAGTAAGAGTGTTTGAATTCAAGCTGACTTACTCCAAGGAAGTCTATTTATGATTGCAACGTTCAGCACCCTATCAATATTCAGAAATGCATCCCTTCTTGGAACAGGACATTTCCATGAGCAATAATTGCTGGCTGTGATTTCATACTTTTAGCAATATTTCATTTTATCTGGGTTTTAAAAGTACTTATGATTCAACTCTAGAAAGCAAATTAACTTTGGCTAGCTTTCTGCTCGATCGATAACTGGCAGGGGTGTGCCAATCCGTCAACAAAAGTGTTTCACAATACAAAGGAGTGCATATATATAAAGCACCTCTTCAAAGCATTAAAGCAGCTGCATCTTTTTTCAGTCTTACACAACTGCCTCAAAGGCTGCTTCAGGTTGACTCTTCATATATATGTATGCACATCCTTGTGGGAATTTATTTTAAAAATTTGCGTAGCTCTAAGGCAGGGGTGTCAAACTCGCAACGTCACCTGACGTGTCGCAACGTATCGCAACTTTTTTCTATTGCTGGTAATGGTGTGGCGTGGTTTCGGCATGACGCATCCGGCCCATGGGCCGGCAGTTTGACACCCTGCTCTAAGAGTTAGTATCTGTTAAGCATGCATGGCTAAAGTAAAAGCCTGCCTATGGGGGGAGGGGTCAGAGACACAAATGACAGACAGTGCAAGCAAGAGTTAATATCACAAATTCAGATCTTTGTGGGAACATTTATTCATTCATTCATTCATTCATTCACCATATTTTATATTGTCTTATTAAACACCTCTAGATTTACAAGAGGTTTACAAGAAGTTACATATGGAACATAAAAACATGCCATATGAAACTGTATTTTTTTCTAGATAATGTCATTTGCAAGAAAAAGTTTCAAGAGATAAAGCCAACTCACTTATTCGCCAGAAGACACACAAGAATCTCCATTTCTTTGTCACTGGGTAGAAAAAGAACATAAATCTCAGCACCTATTTAATCTCTTTTTTTTTTTATTAAAATTTTTATAAAATTTTACAATATAAATCCCCCCTTCTCCTTCCCACCCTTCCACCCCCCTCCCTCCCCCCTCACTTCCCAGTGCCAATCACAGGGTTAACAATAACATAATCATACTCTAATTAACATTAATCAACTATTAAAATAACATATCTATAACCTCCTTTAACTCTCTTTTAAACAGTACAATGATTAAAAACAATAATAATAACAACACTTTAATAATTAAAAATAATACTAAATAAAATATTCTAACCTTTATACAACCATAATACTCTAAAATTTACTCAAAAACCAAATGATATTTTTTAGTCCCATATTTACACTCAATATAATCTATCCATCTTCTCCAAACCAAAATATACCTATTTAATTTCAATTACTAAAAGCCAGTATCAAAGTAGTAAAGATATTTCATCCCTTAAAGAAAAAATCCTCCTGTTTCACTTTCCATATTCTATAGTCCTCCCATATTTGATAATCTGGATCAACAGACAGCAGCATCTGATAAACCTTGATTGGTTTAGGAAGCTAACTTGTGAATGGAAACTCTCAAAATGGGAGACTTTCCAAGTCTGTGAGCCAGACTGCAAATTAAAAACAAAATCCAGAATTCAGTAGTAAACCATTTCATTATCATACCAAGAAAATTACGGGCATGTGTTCATATAAATCATGTGGATCAACTAGATTTGAAGGAGACTCAACTTAACTCTTAATGGAGTTAAGAATAATTTGGTTAAAAACATTTTGCAAATTGTAGGAAATGCAGTGCAACAGGCCCCAAAGCAAGCTGGAGAAAAGCTGATGTAATAAAAACAAGTTACTTCACATAAGAGTTCTGATAAACAATTAGAAATGAAGAATAATAAAAGTTAAGATAGTTGCATTGTAGATGCTGCTTGTCATGGTCTTTAAGAAAGCCAGATTCATGGTGGGAGAGAAAATTCTGATTACTTTTTGCTGAATGTGAGTAGAACTTTCTACTCTGGAGAGTGAATGATATGAGAAAACACGGAGGTTGGAGATAGTGAGCATGACCCCAACACCATTCAGTTTCACATATTTAAGCAAAACCATAAATAGGGTCAGGAGAATAAAAACCAGGTGGGGGAGTGTGTTGAAGCCGGATAAATAACTGAGAAGGAGCCACATCAAAAAGAGAAAGGGATAGATGAGAATATTTAGTATTTTTATTTGACAGGTACTTATTTTCCCATAACAATCACCACCTATAAGTTAGATTGGATTGAGATAAAACGAATGGCCTAAAGGTATACGAATATCCATGGGGATGGAGTAGAACCTGGGTTTCCCCATTCCAAATTTAACACTGTAACCACTGCATTGGATCTCAAATTTTGGGCCAGCCCATATCAGTGTCATTTTAACATCCCAGTGACATCTCTTAAAGATCTAAGGAGAATTAGGAATTGTGGTAGCATAGTGGTTAGAATGCAGTATTGCAGGCTAATTTAGCTCTGCCAGAATTCTCACCGGCTCAAGGTTGACTCAACCTTCCATCCTTCCCAGGTCAGTAAAATGAGTACCTAGATCGTTGGGGGCAATATGCTGACTCTATAAACTGCTTAGAGAGTGATGTAAAGCACTTTGAAGTGGTATATAAGTCTTATTGCTATTGCTATTGCTATCTAATTAGCACTTGCCCTGAGGAATAACCATGGGACTATTTATTTGCAAGAAATTCTATCCCTGAGCAATTACGTTTCCATATGAAATACAGGAAATATGAAGCCAAAATCATCTACCTTGCCATTTCCATAGAGTAAAAGAACAGTTACTAGCGGTTACTAGTTCCATGACCCAATAAGCCATTCAGTAGGGAAGATATGTGTATACATACATTCATTATTAAGAACACATATACATAAAACATGTTTATTTCTAAAGAGGAGTTTATCTGTCTATCTATATATCTGTCTGTCTGTCTATCTATCATCTATTTATCCTTTCTTTCTTTCTTTCTTTCTCTTTCTTTCTTCTCTCTCTCTCTCACACACACATACACACACACCCACATACACACACACACACACCCCACACATATGCATCCATCAATGTATTTTCTATTATAGAGTGTATTTTGAATACACTAGTCTGCACATAATACCTGCCAGGTGAAGAAGAAGATGGATTCACAGAAATATTGGTCAGATTTGTGATCTTCAGGAAATCTTTATGGAAATAATGCTCTTGAAAGATACAGGTAAGAAGAAAGGCATATGATAATATAATCTTTGTAGGAAGTTCCTTTGTGCTGAACCGTTCAAGACCCAAATCTTTTAATCTGGCAAATGAAAAGACAAAAATATATGCAGATTCAGCTGATGAAAAAGAGGAAAAGAATTCTTTCACATTACAGGTACTCAAACATAAGTCAATACATGTACGATTATTAATTTAAAAGAATGATGAACCTAGCCACTTATTCGGAGAGAAGGGGCATTCTCTATCCTTTCCTCAGGTAAACACATTTCAACACACTTGCACACCTCTGGCCACCTTGATTACCCATCAGGCCTTAATCTAGCTCATTTTTAAATATTCCTGTCTACAGCTCTTTACTTAACAGGTAAATAGGGTGGGTGTGGAAAGTTATTTCTGTAAATAATATTCTAAATGTGTGGCTCATAGGTCCTTGCAGGGAAAAACGTTGGCAGAACTTATATGTAATAATCTGATATACCACAGCTCTCTAAAGAACATTTTTCCCTAAAGAAGAAGAAATGCCATCTCATGGGACAATGGGTTGATGGATTGAACGTAACAACTAGGCCAAGTAACTTGTCTAACTATTCAACCCTATTATGAAAAGGCATCAAGACTGGCTCAGCCAGCTGGAAACAGAATGTTTCCTCTTAAATTCCTTCAGATAACCTTCTCTGGGCAAAGATGGGCCTGGTTGGTCCTTCTTTTAGAAATTCTGAGGAATACTAAAGGTATTTAAATCAGACCTTATTGATTTTAAAAAAACAGATATTTAAAAAAAACAAGCCAACATTCCAAGAACAATTTTTGTATGTACTGGGGTAAACAAAAAAGAGGAAATTGGTCCATTATGCTGTGCCAAAAGGATTACTTTTCTTCCAATTGAAACAAAAGTAACTTTTTGATAAAATCCAACACTTCCCATCTTCTAAATGTCAATTTTTTCATTACAACCATTTTCCATAATTTTTCATATCAGATGTCTAGTAATGGAGCCTCTGGGTTTTTCTAATGTTGTGATATAGTCAACCTTGCTATAACAATCATGAATTGAGCAGTTACTTTGTGTTTAGCTCTTTGAGTTGCCTCACTAAATAGCAACAAAAACATCTTGGGACTGTAGCTAAAATATCCCATAGCCATATTATTAATCTCTGTAAGCAATTCTTACCTGACACTTTGTATAATGTAACAGGGCCCACCATGCATGGATATATCTATGGAAGCCTGTTTGGTGTAGTAGTTAAGGTGCTGGCCTAGAAACCAGAACACCATGAATTCTAGTTCTGCTTTAGGCATGAAAGCCAGTTAAGTAATCTTGGGCCAGTGATTCTCTCTCTCTCAATTCACCTCACCTCATAGGGTTATTGTTGTGGGGAAAATAGGAGGTGAAAGGAGTATTAGATATGTTCATCAGCATGCATTTTTTTATAAAGTTATAAAGGCACGATTAAAAAAATCTAATAATAAATATATCTGTGCTTTGCTTTGCCATACTTCCAACATTTATATGGCCTTTTCCCAGTAATTTATTATAGCTTAAATCTAACCCCCACAAGGCATGTCAGACTGAGAAGTTGATAAAAAAAAACCCCAAACACTTCTATATTACTATAGGATGGGAATTGGGACTGGAATTTCAAATTCCAGCACTTTCAGTTGCTACACTTAAGCAAATCCCATGCCATTTTAAGCATGATGTCCATTGACTTTGGTTGTGTAGGTCGCAAATGGCAAGGTGCTGCAACATTGTAATTGCAAACTGGTTACTAAACACCTGTATCATAATAATGTGATGCAAGTACATTCCAATTACTGGAACTTTGAGGACTGGTTGTAAGTCACCCCATTTGAATGATCACTAAACAAATGCTTATTAAACAAAACAACCTGTACTAACATCTATATTTGCGTGTCATGAAGTACCCACAGCTGAATTAGACTTGGAGAAGATTTGAGAGTTGTAGTTGAGTTGATCTAGTATTGGCATCTATATTTTAATACCAGCAGCAAATTTCCTATTTGCTATTATACAACAGAGTTTGGGGAAAAAATCTCAAGATACAATAGGAATATAGAATCTTAAATTAAAGCCCTTACCTTTCCTCTGATATTTCCAAAGTTTTTAGGAAAAATGCAGAAACCATCTCAAACTGGTAGGTATACAAAGCAATGAGGACTACCATTGAATAGGAGATACTTATCAGCCAAAATCCTTTCAAGACTCGTCGCCATCCTTCATAATGAATCTAGAACCAACAAATTCAATTTTGCAGCCTTAGTATTGAATATCATCAGATAACCTACTGGAAGACTTATAGTAGATAAGAGTCACAACAAATTAAACTGAGCTACAGAGTTTTCAAAGGCCATTTATCTTTATGTTGATATAAAATTGTGATTGTAGATAAATGTAGTGTGTCTGGAATTATTTTCTTTGTTTAGGAATTTCAACTCCTTGTGCAACCCTCAGAAATTTTAAAAAAGAAAACTCTCAGTAATCATAACTGCATTTAGAGACCTACAGTAGACAGTTTCTCCCATATGTGAATTAAAATAACATAGCTAGGCTATAAGGAATAAGGGATTTTTTAATTATAATTTAATGTGAATCTATCACATGCATGCATTTCTGAAGCCAAGGAATGAACTAATTTCAAAGTATTTTTAATGTTGGCACTTTGAAACTTCTAAGGCACTTCTGTAAACACAATAGCATCTGGAATGTGACATAACATTATAGACAGTTATAAGCCTTTGGAAAAAATATATGGAAATGTATTTTTCTGCAAACGTCTGCACAAATTGCAAACTAATGTAGAAATAGAAAAAGATTAAAATTTCAAAGATAAAGCATCAAAAGAACTGCAAACTAACAGATTTGATTTGGCAGTGCTTTCCTTTCCCTTCAGAAGTTAGGAATCAAACATAAGTCTCAAATTCCAGATCTGCTTACCTGATACATAGCCACACAGAACAGAAAAAGGATAATGTAAAGAATTTTATACACGACCACTTTGCCATTGAAGCCGACAATAAAGAACATGATGGAACAGAAGTAAATCCAGTATTTTACTAGGATCCTCTTAAATATAGAACCAAGTATTTCGACAAACAGATTTTGCTGTGTGTCCATTTCTGCAACAGGAGTGTACAATCAATCAGGAGCATCATCAATATTTAATGGATCAGAATGATCTTTTAGGATAAATGTTATTACATTTGACTATTTGTGGTATAAGATTATAATCCAGTGTATGCTTATTTAGCAGCAAGTCTCATTGGATTCCACAGGATTTCCTGCTGAACAGCTCTAGATAAGATTGAGCTTGGAATAAGCACAGAATACTCACTTTCCCTCCACCTCCACTATAATGCTACCTATATATGCAGATATGTCCCCTCTTTTTTTAAGAATGAAATATTCCACACTGAATAATTGTTCATTGAACACTTCTATATGCACAAAGCGTAATGTATGTAGCATCCATCTCCTCTCCAACAATACATATTCCCATTCTTCATTCTAATAGAATCATACCCTCTCAAACCATACAGTTTTCAATCCTTTTCCAAACAGTTTGAATACAGCATCAATCATCCTCATGCCTGGTGGCTCCAACATGAGTCAATTGTTTTTCCTCTCACTCAATAGGACAGTACAAAAAAATAAGACTGAAACACAACCACCACCAACCCTGAGTTAACCTGGCTTCCAGAATAATAAAAATAATGTTGCCCTCAATCAACACAAAGAAAAAAAGATGCTAGCATACATTCATGGGCACACACCCCTATATGCTTTCAGTGCTAGGAGGTGGTGGAGAGAATAACAGATTTCTTGAACCCAGAAATTGGGAGCAGGTGGGGGGCAGAGTCCAGTGTACAACTCACTGATTTTTAAACAGGGAAATCAAACTTTTTTTAAATGAAGGCTGTGAAACAGAGTAGAAAGATTAGGATTAGATTCACCTATAGGGTTGCCTGTATTTTTTTTCCTGACATACTGAAGTTGCAGTGAAGTTGTAGTAGAGACTGAAGTACACCGACTTGCCACAAGATGACCAAAGTCAACAGAAAAACATAGTTTATAAGCATTAGCATAGTATTTCTCTACTTTGGCAATTTTAAGAGTGGACTTCAACTCTCAGAATTTCCCAGCCAACAAGATGTTAACATTGACAGACACTGCCCTAGAGTTACAAAAAAATCCAAATGAAAGAATTCATGATTTATGGCTACCCAGATTCAACCTGAACACATCTTAGAAAACCCTTAAATAGGTTCTACTCTCAAACATCTCCTACAATGAAGCAGGGTTTTTTCCCCCTAACCATCAGGTAGAATCTGTCTTTGTGTAACTTAAGACTATTTCCTAATTTAGTTTCTCTGCCACTATAGCTGGACTGAATTAAGGCTTTTAAAATCCATTTTAAAGAGAGGAGCAAAGGATCAGGGTAACTTTACTCAATATTAAATGTTCTTACCAGTTTGATATACTATCACTTCTTTGAGAAATTCATCCTCTTTTTGCTTCTGTCTTTGCATCACATACTGCTTCAACAACAACCAGAAAGTTAACTGATATAAAATCTGCAACAGAATCACATAGGTATTTTTGTTGAAAAATATGTATATATATATGAGAACTAGCCAGCACTGGAAATGTGGCTTCAATTTTGCTATTGCTTGAGCAACCTGCAACTTACTGATCACAAGGGCATAGAGTATACAGAGTGTCTTTCTGAAATGTATTTATTTATTGCTTATTTGTTTATATTCTTTCTTTATTATTTTTATAAACAACTCAAAGTGGTGAAAATATCTATTACTAGTCCTTCCGCCTCCTATTTTCCCACAACAACAACCCTTTGAGATGTGTTGGGCTGTGAAAGAGTGAAAGTTACTAGCCTAAGATCACAGAGTGGTTTTCATGCCTAAGGTGGGACTGGAACTCACAGTCTCCCAGCTTCTAGCCTGATGCCTTAACCACTAGACCAGGGGTCCCCAACCCCCATTCCGTGGACCGGCACTGGGCCATGGTAAGCCAGGAACTGAGCCGCACAAACAAGCAAAGCCCCATCCGCAGGATGCAGAAGTACATGAAACCATGCCCCCTCCGGTCCGCAGAAAAACCTCTCTCTGTGGAACTGGTCCCAGGTGCTCAAAAGGTTGGGGACCTCTGCATTAGACCAAACTAGCTGTTCATTTTAGCAAGTATATGCTCACCTTGGCTCCCAGATGGACACAGGGAAGAGAATAAGGTTTCAAATCTAAGTCAACGAGTAATGAAGTTGCAACTCCTGGAAATAATTCCTCTTGTGAAAGATTCAGTCCCACAATAAAATTAAGAATCACCAGCACATTTCCATAGGTGACAAGAAAGGGTAAACTGCGCAAGGCATAGAAATGACGTTCATGTACCATCCAAATTATACAAGACCAAATTAGCAGAACAAAAGTTAGCCAGCTACTGTAGGTGATACTCCAAACCTATGAATGAATACATAGCAATTATATATTTTAAAGCAGACAGATTTTGGTAAGGTCGCAGCTTCATAAACCAATATGGATAATAGGACTGTAAAAATATAGCCAGCATATAACAAGACACATTTCTTATATTCATTTCATTCTCCAACATTCAGTTGTGTCTGACTTTTGGCAACTTTATAGGCAAATGTTCTCCAGGTTAACCTATCAAGCACAGCTTCTTTTAGTTGTTGGAAGTTCATCTTTGTATCAGCTTCGATGGTATCAAGCCATCAAATTCTTTGATTGCCCCTTCTTTTTGATCCACTAACCATTCCTAGCATCATTGACTTCTCCAATGAATTTGCACACATGACTTGGCCAAAGTAAATTAGGCATAGTCTTGTGATTTTGGCTTCTAGTGATGTTTCTGGTTTTATACGACTCAGCACCTTTCTGTAAGCAAATACTAGTATCTCTTAATTGACTATATTCACATAACATTCTTAACCACTCCTGTAAAGATCTACCAGATGCACTTATAGAATGTACTTCCCTAATGTTCACTTTTTGTAGTTTAACACGTTGTGCAAACATACCACATTTGGTTAGTTTATGTTCAGTATATTGTGCAAATCCTGAATGTGGGTGAATTCAATAGCTAGGTTAACCCTATTTTATGAATGAAGTCATAAGTTTAATCTTAACAATTTTATACAAAAATATACTTAAATATAACTTCAGAATGATCATATAGTTATCATTAGGGATATAATTTTGATTTAAGACATGGGCCTTAAAATGGAGAACTGGAAGGCATTACTCTGTAAGACAAAGAACTGTGAACAGGGTTAGCAGAATTAAGTTTAAAGTAGATAATTCCCCACTTGGGGACATCCAGATGTGCATATTTATAATTCCCCAAATCCCTGTTCAGATGACTTTGAAATTTTGATTTATTAGGAAGGCATACAGCCAACCTGGAAATCCTCTTGGACATTTGGAAGGTAACATGTTCTGTAAACAGCAATGCAGGAATCCCTGGTTGCTGATGCTGAACAGCTATTTGGTAACACTTCTTAAAATACCACAAAAGAAAGTTCTTACCATCATAGTAATTAATGCAATGACATAGCTCTGATTTGTAATGAATTGTGCCAATGCTACGAATATACTAGATTTTTTTCCCATGTTACATTTTTCATTAACTTCTGTAGAGGTTTCAGAATATATTGTGTGCTCTGCAAAAAATATTAAATTTGGAAAAATGGAAAATTACAAGTAATGTCCAGGTTTCTTGCAAGTCTGTTTTCAATTTATTTTATTTGGTGAAAATAACCCAGTGTCCATGAAACCCACTTTGAAAAGTTCAACAAAAGGGTGGAGAAGGGAGGGAGGGAGGGAGGGAGGGAAGGAAGGAAAGAAGGAAGGAAGGAAGGAAGGAAATGAGCAACAAGCATTAACTTATATATGAGCATTTCGTCTTCAGTGTTTTACTTCTATGCTATACATACTCCTTCCTCCAATTCTGCCTTCTATTTCCAGCAAATCATAAGTTATAGTTACATTGAAACTAGATAAACTAATACTTAAAAGGAGTCTTAGGAGTAGGTATTTGAAAGGAAAAATCAACTGACTTGCAAGGGTCAAGGCCCCCTGCTCTCTTACTTCCTTATAAATCTCTCCTATAAATGACCTAGACTGATCGCTATGGGTGATTTGATGAAACATGACATGCTGAGTTTGATTGAAATTATGGGGCAAGACTCCTGCAGGGCATAAACTTGAATAAAAATATGTGGTAAATATCCACATTTCATGATAATAACAAAGAGCTATAGGCATCTTCAAGAATAATAGATTTAATGTAATTTAGTCTCAAGATAATAAGAGGTTGTCTTAAGTTGAATCATACAATATAGCTCAGAATCAAAGACCCTGATTAGAAGCAGTTTGTAGGCTAGACAGACTTTCTTATAGACTTACCTGGACATGCCTGGGATTAATCCTCACCCTTTTGTCATGAAGATGACATGCTCTAACACCTAAGCACAGTTATTTATGGATTCAAGTTCATTTCAGCAAATGCAAGAAGTATTATCATTAATTGGCAGTGATACATTAGAATTTTGTTCAAAACTTTCATACACAGATAACAAGAAGACAATAGCATGCAAGAAGTATTTTTTGCAATATTTGTAGGCAAAGCTAATGATAAAAGTTGAGTGGAATAATTGACAGAAAACCAATCTGACCATGCATTCTGCATTTTTACATTTTGTATTTGGACTGCAGCCAAGAAATTAAAAGACGCTTGCTCCTGGGGATGTATATATAGTCAAGGCCATGGTCTTCCCAGTTGCAATGTATGGCTGTGAAAGTTGGACCATAAGAAAGGCTGAGCGCCATTGAGCAATCAAACCAGTCAGTCCTAGAGGAGATCAACCCTGACTGCTCTTTAGAAGGCCAGATCCTGAAGTTGAAACTCAAGTACTTTGGCCACCTAATGAGAAGGAAGGACTCACTGGAGAAGAGCCTAATGCTGGGAAAGATTGAGGGCAATAGAAGAAGGGGACGACAGAGAATGAGGTGGCTGGATGGAGTCACTGAA